ATGATTTTTGCCAACAAGTGGTTTGAAAATGAGAAAACATTTGATAATTACAAACAAATAGTGTGTAAATATAATGAGCTGAGAGGAGATTTATCAAAAGTATTCAAGGCTCTCAATTATTTCTATAATTATTTCAAATATAATTATGATTTTATTTCAGTATTAGGATATGGAGGTGAAGGTGTTGCATTCAAAGTATTTCACAAAAGTAGTAAATCATTAAGGGCGTTAAAATTAAAATATAATCCAGAGGAATCTGAAGAATCAACAAAAGAAACCATTAATTTATTGAAAAGAACAGATATTGAAGGAAAGATCAAATGTTTTGATTGTGAAATTATTCAAAATCATTTGTATACAGTGATGGAACTTGGAGAGGAATCATTATCAAATTATATTTATAGAAATAATCAAGATGGAATTTATAGAAATGGATTCATTAATAAGGAAAAGTTGATTGAAATTCTTGATATATTTATCAAAGTATTGAACTCAGTTCAATCAATTCATGATCACAATATTTTACACAGAGATTTAGATCCTCAAAATATTGTCAAAGTTCAAGATCTATACAAAATTATTGATTTTGAAACATCAAGAGTTATCAAGACAGGTAATTCAATTACAATTGCTCGTGGAAAGTTTGCATACATGTCTCCTGAAGTTTCACATGATAATTATTCTGATGATTTATTGAAAAGTGATGACAATGAAAAGCTTGCTCACAATGTTGGACAAATTACCATTTCGTGTGATATATTTTCATTGGGATGTATTTTATTGAAATTATTGACCAATTGTCCTTTGCAATTGTGTGAAAGATTTGTTAATGATTCAGATGTCTCGAAATATAATGATAATTATCCATATTTTAGTGGTCATGGAAAATATTTCTATACAGTTATAACAACAACAGAGGGAGAAATGAAATTACATTATGCAATTGAAAAACTAATCAATGAATCAATTAATCCAGATTTAGGAGTGAATAACATATTAATTAGAAGCATTATTAGCATGATTCAAAGAGATTCATCAAAAAGATTGGATTGTTATTCTCACAAGTTAACAATTGAGAATATTTTGAAATACTTGAAAGGTGAGATCAAAGATATCACTTTGAATATTGAAAAGGAAATTGCAGAATTGAAGAAAATCTCACCATTAAGAAGTTACTCTCAACTGGCAGAGGAAGTTGATAAACTTTCGGATGAAAATACCAACCTATTAGAGGATGTTGACAAACTTGCAGAGGAAAACACCAACCTTTCAATGGAAAATAGCAACCTATTAGAAAGAATTAAAATGTTGGAAGAAGAAATAAGAAAACTCAAACAATAAACTCCCAACACACAAAATGTAAGTTCCACAAACAACTATGCGAAATATATTGATTTCAAACTGGGCCATTGAAATTTGAACAGTTTGTTCATTTCACTTGAAAGGTTCAATAAATCATTTCGATTTCTCTTTTAATGGTTAACTTGTGAGAATAACAATCCAATCTTTTTGCGTGGCATTTGGAAATTTCCCAAGTTGATCAGCTTTGAACTATTTTGTGAACAAAGTTGAGAGGCAGATGATGCATACAGTCCTACTCAATATGGATGCAATTTATTCTGCAGAAAACTATTACTTCATCCTTAAACTTTATAATTTACACTTAATTGTTAAATCGGTCAATTGTTGAGCCATCACTAATTGATAACATCTCACAAGCGATATTTTCTCAAACAAGCAATTACAAGCAATTAGAAATATAATGTCTATTTTTCTCATTATTCAACATTGGCGAGTTGTGAAATGTCCAATTCTGATATCGACTGAATAATGTGATATTCTGGTATTTTCCCATAAATATTATTTATTGCATTCAAATAGCTCGATATAATTGTATTGAGAACATCCCTTTCGTGATAATCGTTTACAATTCGTGAAAGATCAGTAAGTGTTTCAGTTTCGAATAATCTTCCAAATTCAATGTAACTCCTCAATTTCCTCATCATTATATCTGGTTTAGTAAACAGTAAGACAACTCTTGTATTATTACCATTATTCGAAACACGAGTCATCAATTCCTTGTAAAGTTTCAAACTTTCATCCATTCTATTCACCTTCTCATCTCCATAACCTGTTTGATTGAATTCTGCCAAAACGGAAACATTTCCACTTTTTTCTTTCACTTGTTTTTCCAGCTGCAGTTACAAATGTCACTTTCTTGTCATCAAAATTAATGTCATACTCTGTAATTCCAGAAGTGAATATTCCGATATGCTTAATAGGCGACTAAACAAAGAGTGGAAGTATTCAGCACATCTGATTCATCTTCTGCTACCGACACAACAGATGCTGATGGTGATTCAACCACTACATATCAACAAAGCCAAGACCGTATCGCCAACCCTGAAAACCTCTCAAAATTCCGGTCTTGTATCTTCAGGTGTGCTGCTCTCGCTAAATTCTTAATCTTAAACAATCTGATTCGAACAACAATTTCGGTACTGGTAAAAGGGTGAAGGTTTCTGAAGGTATTTCATTGAAGGAATATCTACGTGATTGCTATCAATCAATCACTGGAGAGTCAATTAATGACGAGTTATCTTCAGATGATATATTTGATTTGATATTGTCAACTTCTAATGCACAATATTCAGCAGACTCTCTTCACACAAGAATAGAATGGCTTTGCTACAAATACTCTTCAGAGAAGTTGACGCCCCTGTTCCTGATGTTTATGGTGGAAAAGAATTTAGAAGTATTGTACAAGTTTGTAAAAGATTGAGAAATGGTAACTCTTTTGATTTAGTTGAATGGCTTCAAGCTATTGAATTCATCCAGAATATTGCTGACTTAAATTGTATTGCCATTAAATTGGGTGAACCGGTTCTGGTGGTTTTGAAACTGCAAAGGAATTGTTAATACCTTGGTTAAAACCCAGAGACAAAGAAAAGTAGTAGCAACCTTCAAAAGAGAAGATTTAATCAAAGGTCTAACCACTTCGTCCCATACGACTCGGACCATTTCAATAGAGCAAACACCAACCACTTATAATGGAAGAAGACAATTCAATAGCCATGGATCCGGTTCTAACAACTCCAATTCCTCCACCAGTGACAAGCAGGTTCCTCTAGGTGGTAGACTCTCTCATTTCCATCAACGTTGGACAGAATTCGTCGTCTCAGAAATAATTGTGGATTGGATAAAAAACGGAATCAGATTCCAGCTAATGGAAAAACTACCACCAGAGGAAGTTCCAGGAAAGAGTTTCTTAGTAAGAGGTGCACCAAGCGCAGTGTAATCAAAATTGTAAATCAATGTAGAAAAAAATTATGTTTGAATGGTCCAGATATCTGAACCAGATTTAGTTGGAATATCTAGATATTGTACTGTAGATCCAACCTATGATAGATAAGGTACCAATTTTGGTATCACTCAAATTCGGAAAGTTATACATCTGATAATTCCTATATATATTTGAGGGAACAACTCCTATGAATTTCACATTAAAATGTGTTTGGTGTAGTTTTATTGGAGATTATTTAAGTCTCTACACTGTAAAACCAGAAAATCAGGTTGTATCTAAAGAATTTGCGAAAAACATTACCACAGCATATAGTTCAGTAACATCTACTATCATTGAGTCTTTCATGAGAATTTACAAAGCTTGACAACAATACAATAACTCAAAAAGAGGTACTCAAATATCTGACAAATAGACCCAAATATACAAATTATTAATTACGAATATTATTTTATGTGGGTGACACAGAATCAATGGGGATTGACATGTTTGTGGATCATTTGACTGTATGGACGTCCTTTCACTTTGGATTTAACTACCTGATATGTTATAATAATCGTTTTGGGATCATTTTTATTGATCTTTTTTGTTTAAGTGGACATGAAAGGTCACCCATTTCTTCTTTGCAATTCTATTTAGTTGCGGTGGCAAATTGAGATGAGTCAACAAACAAGAAAACAATGCCTAGAAGTCTTCTTAACACTCTTTTATTGCTCTTGCTATTGTTTGTATGTGTGAGTTGTGCGAATGTGTTGATCAATGTTAAAGATCTTCCAACAGATTCTGTAATAGAGATTTCTGGTGATAACCCAATTACTATTATTATTCCCAATAGAAGTTACACTACACCTTTTAGTTTAAAACTTGATGGAGTCAAAAAATTTGTGGATTCATCAGTAGGATGTAAAATTTATACTTTTGATGTTTCACTTGACAAACCTTATTACAGAGGAAATTCTTCAATTAGAACAGATATTCAAAATATTTTCTTTGCAGATCGTGTTCGCTACAGATACACAGACAATCAATGTATTAATCCTGGTACATCTTTCAGTTTGTACCCTTATGCTGATGCTGTTCAGAGTATTTGTGGATGTTCAAAGTTCTTTGCGATAATGCATACCGGATTCGGATTGGTAGACAATTCTACTATTCCTGATGAGTATTATCCTTTGACAATTACTATCAAACCAAAGTTCCAAAAATATTCTACACAACAAGAGTAGTATTGTACAACAAGTCCATTTTCTTGTTATAGCCAGCGCTGTGGATGCACATCTGGAGGCGTTAATTTTGATGAAAGTAGTTTTTTTTTTCCTCCCGTAAACAATTCAATTAATAGATATGGAAGTACTACTACTAGAAGTGTTTCATCAGCCATAACAATTTCACAAAATATTTATTTAATAGTTTTATTGATTTTCTTCATTTTGTATTTACAATAAATCATAAATTCTATTTGCATTAAAAATTTCATAACCTTTAGAATTATCTCGTGCAATAACAGTACCACTACTGACATATTTTGGACCAAAACCATTAACAGTTATAAAATTATCAGTACCACGTCTATCAATATTAAGAGAAATCTTTCCTGGAAAATCCAGTAAGCAAAATAAAAATGGAAGCAATACTTCCTTAATATTGAGTCTGAAGCCAATTGCACAGTTTTGAGCCTCAAAGACATCGAAAGAATAGTAAACTCAACCAAGACGTATCTTGCATTCAAAAAAAAATATCAATTTTATGAGTAGCTTATTTTCGGAGTGGTTCTTCAACTTCCCACTCCAAGAATGGAACCTCATCATCTATACATCATCAATATAATAGTAATAATAGTAGTTTTATGTGGAAGTTTATCGTTATGGAATTAGATAGTAATTTTGATATTGGACAAATTCAAGTTGGTGAATCATCATCAATTTCAACAACATAGTATCATTAGTAGGGATGTCTAATATCACCATCAAGAGAGTTGGAATTTTTCCACTTAGTATTCATCGAGTTGTGGAATTTTCGCTTCATCATATCTTTTATCATCAATATCATCAACAAGTTCACTTCCGATCATTAAGGAAAATATCTTAATGGTCATCATCATTGCACCATAAATAAAATTCACTAATGGTAAATTTTCCAACAAGGTAAATTTCAAGGTTGGAAATCTTGCTGATTTTCCACCTTGAATTATTGTTGAGATATATCAATCAAGAAAAGGGAAAGATTGGTGAAACAATTTCCAAGCTCTTTGCTGAGCAATTACGTAAAGATTATGCATGATGGAAAGCCAGTTCCTTGAATTATTTCAATAATTAATTATATTTTTATTATTAACATTGTGTTTTCTTGTAGCAACATCTGTTTTATGTATTCTCCACTTGATTTCATCAAATAAAATAGTAAACATGATGTCTTTTCCTAATATTATTTTCCGTCATTGGTTTGCTGCTTCAGAACAAAAAATTACAAATTAAGGTGGATTCTTCACATACAGTAACCTTTGCCATTATGGTAATAAAACAACTCAAATAAGGATGAATCAACATTTTTCAGCGATACTCTTTCCTGGAAAGACAGAGGAAACATCTTTACGGCTACAGAAGTTCTCTCAGAAAGAGAAAACATGGATAAGGAGAGAGATAGACTCTATGTTACAAAACCAAATTATAACCTATTCTTTAAATCCTATCAACGTTGTCCCAAAGACGAATACAGGTTTATCTTGGAAAGATAAACGATGGCATGTTTCGATAGTAAACGCACAAAATACAGTTCATATAATATTTAGACAATTGGGTATTAAAGCTCGGGGGCTGAACCACCTTAATGGTGAAACAGCCTGGAACCTGCTTTGAAGGATGTAAAAAAAAAGTTATCAATAGTTGGATCTTCAAAACATGGATAAGAAAAAAACATTGATGAAAAACCTCACTCAGAAATTAATCCCTTACCAAAGATTAATGAGCGCAACAGTTTTTGGGAGGAAGTGGTGTGTCCACTCTTTATTTAGGATGAGATGGAGATGATACAGTGTGTTGTTTCCTTTGTGAACTTCCTTTCTTGTTTACAAGATTCAAAAGGATGGAATTCAACTATACTAGTGAATCGAGGCCCTGCCAAAGATCTGAGGGTATAACGAAAAATTATCCAATAATCCGAAGGCTCTTGGTTAGAGCTCGACGCTCCAGAGTCAATAATAATCAATTCAGATGCCTCTCTGGAAGGATTTGCAATCCACTCCTCAAAAACTATCGTCGTAGGCAAGTTCGAAATAGATTCATCAATCAACGTGAAAGAATTGATGGCGATATTTCAATTCTTCAAAGAAGCACAATGTTTGAGGAAACAACCATTGATCTTATTTTATATGGTGATAAAGATTTGACTCTTTCTTCCTGATTTCAATTCAGGTTGTGTCCAAAATTTGTACAACACTTCCAAACAATCATGATATCAATCCCTCCTCATATCATGAAGTGAAGAATCATATTTATATGAAGAATAACTTCAGAATAATTTCAAAATCCTAAATACACCAAAACACAATAAAACACGATTAGAGAATCAAGAATGGATTATTTACATTTCTAATTTACATCAACAAATATGGTGTATGTGATGTGAAATTAAAAACAGAAAAATCATGATTTCAACGAAACAAGACGAAATAATTGATATAGTACATCTACAATAGTACTAATAAAAGTTTATTAATGTTTCAAGATGATTGGCTATGTTCTTTTGGCATGAATCATGATTGGTGACCATGAATACCCCGAAGTTGGTAAAAACACAAAACTATGAAAATCTGATAATAAATATATTGTTTATTATGTTGAGATACATGATAACCAATAGGGAAATGTTCGGAAGTGATTTTACCTGATGGAATTGACCATGCTGAACAATACTAGATTGAAAATTTTCCAAATTATCATATATAAATCTGTGATGATGATTTTAGTGAAAATATTGAATTTCACTAAAATATTACTATTATCAGATTTATTTCCACAAATATTACTATTATAATGATGATAAATAACAATGATGATGGTTGGTAGTTGTTCCGATGATGATGTACCAACTTGAATTTTTCCAAATAATAAAATTATTTCCAAATCATGATGAAGGATTAAATTCCAAAAATTACTATTATTGCTATTATTTAAATCATGATGAGATGATGTGGTGAAATTCTTGGAGTTAATAGATGTGAAATCACTCCAAGAATCAACAGAGTCGTGATGTACCTGATGTTGATCCAATATTGTTCCAAGTTCTTGTTGGCTAAACAGAATTATTACAATGTTCACCTTATCCAATAATTTAGCTTTAATGTTGGTATGTTTTGCATTTTCAATTAGGAAATCTTACTAAAATAGATGTTTGAAAATCGTATGTTTTTAATGATTGACAGAGAATGCTGCTTACCGAGATGAAAGCAGTAAATGTTGAACAGCATGTAACACAATACAACTGAGTGCATTGTGAAATTACAGAAAGTTCTCCTCTTACTGAGTTCCTACCCAAATTCCCAAAGGTTAAAGTTGAGGGTAGGTTCTCCACCTACAATTTCATCCAATCTCACAGCCATCTAGGTGCTGTATTGGGAGCAACAACCAAAATTTCGGTCGTTTCATCGAAAATCTACCTGAACAAACAATCAATTTCCTGACTTTGAATTAGTAGTATTATTAATTATTTTATTTTGTAATTATATTATTTATTAATATTATTAATTATTTCCTTTTTTAATTTTTCTCAACAACCCTCATGTTCGACGTTTTCAAACCATCCTACTCCAAGTGTAATTTTGATGACTTCCCTTAACTTACTAGTTCTAATTTATAAATATTTCAAAATAAATCAAGAGAATACATTTTTCACAAAGTTTTATCTCTTTGAATCTTGGTGTAAAAATCTTGATAGTTGATTCGGAATGTGATGGGCGAGAACAGCTTTAAAAAAAATGAACATAAACGAGTGGGTTGGTATTTGTTGCTGTGTGGTGAAATAATTATTATATAAAATGTGATGATCATGATCACAACAATAGGCCGATAGGAAATATGTGTTGGAAGCTGTTAAACAAGATGGATCGGCACTTGAAGATGCTGATTCATCATTTAAAAAGGATAGAGAAATTGTATTGGAAGCTGTTAAACAAAATGGGTGGGCACTTCAATATGCTGATTCATCATTTAAAAAAGATAGAGAAATTGTATTGGAAGCTGTTAAACGCTATGGACCAGCACTTGAATACGCTGATTCATTATTGAAAAAAGATAGAGAAATTATATTGGAAGCTGTTAAACACTATGGATTGGCACTTCAATACGCTGATTCATCATTTAAAAAAGATAGAGAAATTATATTGGAAGCTGTTAAACAAAATGGATTGGCACTTGAATTTGCTGATTCATCATTTAAAAAAGATAGAGAAATTATATTGGAAGCTGTTAAACAAAATGGATCGGCACTTGAAGATGCTGATTCATCATTTAAAAAGGATAGAGAAATTGTATTGGAAGCTGTTAAACAAAATGGGTGGGCACTTCAATATGCTGATTCATCATTTAAAAAAGATAGAGAAATTGTATTGGAAGCTGTTAAACGCTATGGACCAGCACTTGAATACGCTGATTCATTATTGAAAAAAGATAGAGAAATTATATTGGAAGCTGTTAAACAAAATGGATATGCACTTGAATACGCTGATTCATCATTTAAAAAAGATAGAGAAATTGTATTGGAAGCTGTTAAACAACATGGATTGGCACTTGAATATGCTGATTCATCATTTAAAAAAGATAGAGAAATTATATTGGAAGCTGTTAAACAAAATGGATTGGCACTTCAATATGCTGATTCATCATTTAAAAAAGATAGAGAATTTATATTGGAAGCTGTTAAACAAAATGGGTGGGCACTTGAATACGCTGATTCAATATTGAAAAAAGATAGAGAAATTATATTGGAAGCTGTTAAACAAAATGGATTGGCACTTAAATATGCTGATTCATCATTTAAAAAAGATAGAGAAATTATATTGGAATCTGTTAAACAAAATGAATATGCACTTAAATATGCTGATTCATCATTTAAAAAAGATAGAGAATTTATATTGGAAGCTGTTAAACAAGATGGGTATGCACTTAAATATGCTGATTCATCATTTCTAAAAGATAGAGAATTTATATTGGAAGCTGTTAAACAAAATGGACGAGCACTTCAATATGCTGATTCATCATTGAAAAAAGATAGAGAAATTATATTGGAAGCTGTTAAACAAAATGTACGAGCACTTCAATATGCTGATTCATCATTTAAAAAAGATAGAGAATTTATATTGGAAGCTGTCAAACAAAATGGATTGGCACTTGAATATGCTGATTCATTATTGAAAAAAGATAGAGAAATTATATTGGAAGCTGTTAAACAAAATGGATTGGCACTTGAATATGCTGATTCATCATTTAAAAAAGATAGAGAAATTATATTGGAAACTGTTAAACAAAATGGATTGACACTTGAATATGCTGATTCATTATTGAAAAAAGATAGAGAAATTGTATTGGAAGCTGTTAAACAAAATGTACGAGCACTTGAATACGCTGATTCATCATTTAAAAAAGATAGAGAATTTATATTGGAAACTGTCAAACAAGATGGATATGCACTTAAATATGCTGATTCATTATTGAAAAAAGATAGAGAAATTGTATTGGAAGCTGTTAAACAAAATGTACGAGCACTTGAATACGCTGATTCATCATTTAAAAAAGATAGAGAATTTATTTATTTGCTATTTAAATTGAACAAAGAAAATGCAAGAAAGTTCTCACCTTCTATATCCAAAACCATTGAAGAATGCTTAAATATTCAGAAAAAGCTGTCAAGCAATATAATTGAACAATACTCCAAAATATTTATGGATGAAAAAGATTTATATTATGCTATTGAATTAACAAGTCTCTTTAATCCAACACCAAAAAGTACAATATTCAATTTTAATCCTATCTACACACCAATATTTGTTGAAAAATTGATTATTTTTCAAATATTGAAACGAATGAACCATTCAGAATTGTCTAATGATATTATTGCTCTAATTGATTTACAAAGCACCAAAGCTAACTATTATTTATTTTGTTTCAGATTGGATAAATTTCTTGAAGATAATCCTTCTCAATCAACAAGAATGAAAGATTTGAAGAATATTGTGGAACAAGTTGCAACAAACTTTGAAACGTCATTTTATACAAAACAGGAAATTAATGAAATTATGATTTTTGCCAACAAGTGGTTTGAAAATGAGAAAACATTTGATAATTACAAACAAATAATTTGTAAATATAATGAGCTGAGAGGAGATTTATCAAAAGTATTCAAAGCTCTCAATTATTTCTATAATTATTTCAAATATAATTATGATTTCATTTCAGTATTAGGATATGGAGGTGAAGGTGTTGCATTCAAAGTATTTCACAAAAGTAGTAAATCATTAAGGGCATTAAAATTAAAATATAATCCAGAGGAATCTGAAGAATCAACAAAAGAAACCATTAATTTATTGAACAGAACAGACATTGAAGGAAAGATCAAATGTTTTGATTGTGAAATTATTCAAAATCATTTATATTCAGTGATGGAACTTGGAGAGGAATCATTATCAAATTATATTTCAAGAAATAATCAAGATGGAATTTATAGAAATGGATTCATTAATAAGGAAAAGTTGATTGAAATTCTTGAAATATTTATCAAAGTATTGAACTCTGTTCAATCAATTCATGATCACAATATTTTACACAGAGATTTAGATCCTCAAAATATTGTCAAAGTTCAAGATCATTACAAAATTATTGATTTTGAAACATCAAGAGTTATCAAGACAGGTAATTCAATTACAATTGCTCGTGGAAAGTTTGCATACATGTCTCCTGAAGTTTCACATGATAATTATTCTGATGATTTATTGAAAAGTGATGACAATGAAAAACTTGCTCACAATGTTGGACAAATTACCATTTCATGTGATATATTTTCATTGGGATGCATTTTGTTGAAATTATTAACCAATTGTCCTTTGCAATTGTGTGAAAGATTTGTTAATGATCCAGATGTCTCTAAATATAATGACAAGTATCCATATTTTAGTGGACATGGAAAATATTTCTATACAGTTGTGACAACAACAGAGGGAGAAATGAAATTACATTATGCAATTGAAAAACTAATCAATGAAACGATTAATGCAGATTTAGGAGTGAATAACATATTGATTAGAAGCATTATTAGCATGATTCAAAGAGATTCATCAAAAAGATTGAATTGTTATTCTCACAAGTTAACAATTAAGAATATTTTGAAATTTTTGAAAGGTGAAATCAAAGATATCACTTTCAATATTGAAAAACAAGTTGGAGAATTGAAGAAAATCTCACCATTAAGGAGCTACTCTCAACTTGTAGAGGAAAATACCAACCTATTAGAAAGAATTAAAGTATTAGAAGAGGAAAATAGAAAACTCAAACAAAATTAAACACCAAACCTGGTTGATAGATTATACTTTGTATTAGCAATGAAATTTGCGACTTCATATTGAAAATAAGTATCAAAATTGTGCAGCAAAATGTCATTGACATGATACACAAGAAATAAATCAATTCTCACTCCAAATGGATCTTCAAAGGAAAGGAACTTATACAGACCCAGTAAAACTCATTTTAGATGCACTTTATTTTACAGAAAACCATAACTTCATCCTTAAACTTTATAATTGACACTTAATTGTTAAATCGGTCAATTGTTGAGCCATCACTAATTGATAACATCTCACAAGCGATATTTTCTCAAACAAGCAATTAGAAATATAATGTCTATTTTTCTCATTATTCAACATTAGTTTGGCGAGTTGTGAAATGTCCAATTCTGATATCGACTGAATAATGTGATATTCTGGTATTTTCCCATAAATATTATTTGTTTCGGTTAAAAAACTCGATATAATTGTATTGAGAACATCCCTTTCGTGATAATCGTTTACAATTCGTGAAAGATCAGTAAGTGTTTCAGTTTCGAATAATCTTCCAAATTCAATGTAACTCCTCAGTTTCCTCATCATTATATCTGGTTTGGTAAACAGTAAGACAACTCTCGTATTATTACCACTATTCGAAACACGAGTCATCAATTCCTTGTAAAGTTTCAAACTTTCGTCCATTCTATTCACCTTCTCATCTCCATAACCTGATTGATTGAATTCTGCCAACGAAACAACATAAACCAAAACGGAAACATTTCCTTGCAAGCAGAAATTCCACTTTTTTCTTTCACTTGTTTTTCCACCTGCAGTCACAAATGTCACTTTCTTGTCATCAAAATTAATGTCATACTCTGTAATTCCAGAAGAATTTCCCTTAATGTAAATATCTGGAATGAAACTTTCATGATTCTTAAGTTTCCTTACAAAAATGTCAACATTTTCGAATAAATTGAGAGAATCTTGACAGCTCTGATAAATATTTCTAAATTTCTGATCATTCCACAATGCAAAAAGTGTAGAATTATCAAAATTATTGCAATCATTTGTATATTCTCGAATAATTGCCTCAATAGATATATCCTTTGATGCAAACAATATCTGTTCAATAATAGTTTTTGAAATTGTATTCGAATCTACCTTATAGAATAGGTTGTAAGTATTGCATGATTTATCTGCTTGATGTTGTTTCTGATATTGAATCATTTCACAAATAGTTGACTTTCCACTTGAAGTATTTCCCAGTAAAACTATTCTCTGATGATTGTCATTGTTATTCGAATGTTTAGTTTGTTGCAGAAGTGGAGTGTTGTTGGAGTGTTGATGATGATTGTGATTCGAAGAGAGCTTTCCACCCATTTTTTGTTTCTTTGTTTGCAATTTCTCTATTCGAAAGGTTTCTTCACAAAGACTGAAATGGAAATGACAAAAAAGGATGCATTCTAAAAAAGATAATAGTAACACAGCAACAATACCAAATATTACAACCCTAAAGTGACTCTTGAGTTGCCTAGCAATTCATGATGCTTGTTATTAAAGTATGCAACCATAAAAAGATTACTTTACAATAAATTTACAATATGTTAAGCTTCATCTACAATTTTATTCCCGCGCTCCGTTTTTATTCTTTTTATTTTATCAAATATATTATTTAAAAATCAAAGCAACAATAACTTGAATAACTTGTTTGGTCTGCGTTTTGGTCGTTTTGGTGACCAAAACTTGAATTTTATTTTATTTGTGATCGATTTTGTAAATTTTTCATTCTTGCCACCAACTTTGATCGGTTTTTAATTTTATATTCAGAGCAAGAATGGGACCACACGGTTCGTAATGGTTAATAAGCTATGTAATCACATGATAAGAATGAATATGAATTGAGTAAACGCTAGATGAATAGTAATAATGATGTTATTTACACATACACAGCTGTCAACCAGACTGCTATTTTCATCATGATGCCAATTATGTGATGATTCATCAATAGGCTTCTTCTTCGATCCATCTTCCTCGACCTCATTGAGATCATGGTTCATCAGTATCAATGAGTGGATCTTAGCGCCTTATTTCAAAGCCTAAAAAAATAGAGAAAACACCAACACAAAGGAACACTCCATACATTTGAAAATATATATCAAAAATTAGGCAATAAATTCCTTATCAAACACAACAAGGAGTGACTAAGAAGTTGAATTCAGAAGTAGATGAGCAAGATTTAATGGTGGATGATTTGATTGAGAGAGCTTGGTTCTGATCCTCGGAATCAGATGATGAGGAGCAATTCATAATGGATCAACAAGAAGAGGATGCAAATCTTAACAGATCATGTGATGGCGTCCAATAACAAAAAAACCCATCTGTAATAGTTGAAACTGTTCTTTTTGGGTGTAAAAATCATCAAGTTGATTCGGAATGTGATGGTCTAGAATACCTTTAAAAAAATGAACAAAAACGAGTGGGTTGGTATTTGTTGCTGTGGAGAAAATAATTATTTTTATTGGTGTGATGATTCATGATTGCAACAATAGGCCGATAGGAAATATGTGTTGAAAGCTGTTAAACAAAATGGATCAACACTTGAAAATGCTGATTCATCATTGAAAAAAGATAGAGAAATTGTATTGGAAGCTGTTAAACAAAATGGGTTGGCACTTCAATATGCTGATCCAGCATTTAAAAAAGATAGAGAAATTGTGTTGGAAGCTATTAAACAAAATGGATTGACACTTTTATATGTTGATTCATCATTGGAAAAAGATAGAGAAATTATATTGGAAGCTGTTATACGCTATGGACCAGCACTCAAATATGCTGATTCATCATTGAAAAAGGATAGAGAATTTATATTGGAATCTGTTAAACAACATGGATTGGCACTTGAATTTGCTGATTCAATATTAAAAAAGATAGAGAAATTGTATTGGAATCTGTCAAACAAGATGGATTGGCACTTGAATTTGCTGATTCATCATTTAAAAAAGATAGAGAAATTGTATTGGAGTCTGTCAAACAAGATGGATATGCACTTGAATATGCTGATTCATCATTGAAAAAAGATAGAGAATTTATATTGGAATCTGTTAAACAAGCTGGATTGGCACTTAAGCATGCTGATGAATCATTTAAAAAAGATAGTATATTTATTTATTTATTAATTAAATTGAACAAGGAAAATGCAAGAAGGTTCTCACCCTCTATAACCAAAACCATTGAAGAATCCATTAATCTTCAGACAAAGCTGTCAAGCAATATAATTGAACAATACTCCAAAATATTTATGGATGAAAAGGATTTATATTATGGTATTGAATTAACAAGTCTCTTTAATCCAACACCAAAAAGTACAATATTCAATTTTAATCCTATCTACACACCAATATTTGTTGAAAAGTTGATTTTTTTTCAAATATTGAAACAAATGAACCATTCAGAATTATCCACTGAAAATGTTCTTTCAGAAAGAGCTAACTATTATTTATTTTGTTTCAGATTGGACAAATTTATTGAAGATAATCCCTGTCAATCAACAAGAATGAAAGATTTGAAGAATATTGTGGAACAAGTTGCAACAAATTTCGAAACATCATTTTATTCAAAACAGGAAATTAATGAAATTATGAATTTTGCCAACAAGTGGTTTGAAAATGAGAAAACATTTGTAAATTACAAACAAATAATTTGTAAATATAATGAGCTGAGAGGAGATTTATCAAAAGTATTCAAAGCTCTCAATTATTTCTATAATTATTTCAAATATAATTATGATTTCATTTCAGTATTAGGATATGGAGGTGAAGGTGTTGCATTCAAAGTATTTCACAAAAGTAGTAAATCATTAAGGGCATTAAAATTAAAATATGACCCAGAGGAATCTGAAGAATCAACAAAAGAAACCATTAATTTATTGAAAAGAACAGACATTGAAGGAAAGATCAAATGTTTTGATTGTGACATTATTCAAAATCATTTGTATACAGTGATGGAACTTGGAGAGGAATCATTATCAAATTATATTTCAAGAAATAATCAAGATGGAATTTATAGAAATGGATTCATTATTAAGGAAAAGTTGATTGAAATTCTTGATATATTTATCAAAGTATTGAACTCAGTTCAATCAATTCATGATCACAATATTTTACACAGAGATTTAGATCCTCAAAATATTGTCAAAGTTCAAGATTTATACAAGATAATTGATTTTGAAACATCAAGAGTTATCAAGACAGGTAATTCAATTACAATTGCTCGTGGAAAGTTTGCCTACATGTCTCCTGAAGTTTCACATGATAATTATTCTGATGATTTATTGAAAAGTGATAATGATGAAAAGCTTGCTCACAATGTTGGACAAATTACCATTTCATGTGATATATTTTCATTGGGATGTATTTTATTGAAATTATTAGCAAATTGTCCTCTGCAACTATGTTCAACATTTGTTAATGATCCAGATGTCTCTAAATATAATGACAAGTATCCATATTTAAGTGGACATGGAAAATATTTCTATACAGTTGTGACAACAACAGAGGGAGAAATGAAATTACATTATGCAATTGAAAAACTAATCAATCAATCAATTAATCCAGATTTAGGAGTGAATAATATATTGATTAGAAGCATTATTAGCATGATTCAAAGAGATTCATCAAAAAGATTGAATTGTTATTCTCACAAGTTAACCATTGAGAATATTTTGAAATACTTGAAAGGTGAAATCAAAGATATCACTTTGAATATTGAAAAACAAGTTGGAGAATTGAAGAAAATATCACCATTAAGAAGTTACTCTCAACTTGCAGAGGAAGTTGATAAACTTTCGGATGAAAATACCAAACTCGCAGAGGAAAACACCAACCTATATAAACTTTTGGATGAAAACACCATGGAAAATAGCAACCTGTTAGAAAGAATTAAAATATTGGAAGAGGAAAATAGAAAACTCAAACAATAAACTCCCAACACACAAAATGTAAGTTCTACAAACAACTATTCGAAATTTAGCCCAACTTGATTTCCCTTCTTATCCCGCTCAACTTTTTTTCTTTGAACCTGTTTTGTAGCAATTGAGTTGAGTGGCAGTTGAGTAAGCAGGTGATATTGATTCATTAAGTCAAACTCAATGTGTTAATCTTCATTTACAATTTTATTCCCGCTCATAACCGTTACGTTTTAAAAAATATTTGAAAAATCCAAATTAAAAAAAATCACAATAAATCACATCGTTTTCTCTGTAGCATGCCTGCTTTAAAGAATTTTTCTGTTGCTTCAACGTGATGAACAACAGCCGCATCAATCACATCGACCATCAACTTGGCATGATTCAAGCTAGCTCGCAACACACACTCATCAAAAGCCTCCACAACATTCGACCTCTCCTTACCACTCGTTCTAATGATTCGATAATTGATCATTCCGTAGCGAATTAATAGATTTTCCATCATTTTGTATTCATCCTCCTCTGTTCTTACATGATGCTGATGATGAGAACAACATGTTGAAGAATTACCTCCTCCAACGTTGTTTTGAATGAAGGAAGAAGAAGAACCCAATAGAAGGCTTGTTGGTGTTCCATTGTATGATGAAGAAATATTGGAAGTACTCATGGCTGTAGTTGTTGTTATTGTTGTGGCTATGGTAGATAAGGTCGCAGAACTCGTATTCATCAAGTGATGAGTACAGTTGCTATTGTTATTATAACTATTGCTCAGTAGAAGGCTGTTTCCTGTAATGATTGGAGCAGAGAAACAACATATTGGAGGAGGACTGCTGAATATCGTCGATGATGGAGAGGATGAAGAGGACATTGGTGGGGGTGAAGATAGGAATGGATCTGCAAGTAGGTATGAGCCATGACAGCAGTTATTAGAGGTTGGTGATTTAGGTGTTGAAGGACTCGAGTTATTGTTGTAATCATTGTTGGAACGTCTCTTCTTGAGACTCTTTCTGGATTCGTCGGATTTGTTCAAGGCTACAATGAGTGGAAAGGAAGATGATTGTTTAATTTCAATGCATCGTTTGAGAATTTGCTCAGTTTCGAACAAGGTTTCCTCCAATTGACAATGTGAACAAACCAGTAGAATGGCATGAGCTTGTGAAATATGCTGAGAACAGGTATGAAGAAAGTGAGTGTCCATTACTTGCATTCGAAACATTTGATTAGGAGTCATTGGATGTTTCTCAACACGAGTGTAAACTTCATTATTGTGAGAGGTCAATTGATTTGTTTCAATTTGAAGAAATGAATTGACGAGTTGTGATTTTCCTGCTTGATGATGTCCCAATACTACAATTTGAAATGTTTCCAATACATCCTTTCTAGTGAAGTATCGTTGATAGATTGAAATTGAGTGTGGAAAGTCAGTAATTAATTTTAAGAATTCTCGATAATTGACCAAGAGTGTTTTTACATCTTGTTTTGATTTGATATGTTCAATAATTTTCCTCCTAGGTGTTGATTTCAGAGTTTGGCTGTCCAATCCGATAGTTTCCCTCACAAAGTTTTCAAGAATAATCTTTTTCCAAAAGTTGTCAGTCAAATAGTTTCGTATAAGTGACTCATTCGAAAAGGCTTTGCAAATTCTTTCCCACAACAAGGCTGATTGAATTGATTCGAGAATAACAAGTTTGTTTCCGAGGAGGGAAATACCCAAGCCTTCTACATGATACTCGATGATTTTAATGATAATTTCAGGAGGAAGATGAGTTAGTTTATACATTTTTTAAAGATAGTTTCTAATTCACCGAAAAGGAATGTGTACGAAAGCTAGCATCAATGGTATTCACAAGAAATAATGACAGTGGTTGTTTGCAGGCTTTTGTTTTTTGTTGAAAGGAACGTTTCGAAGAAAATTCTATTTTTACAATTATGACATAATTTTGATTAATATTGACCAAATTAGTTTACTTTAAATGTCATCTCAATATCGATTTTAAATATCAATAATGCATGTTTGTATTTATTACAATATATTTACTTGGCAAGAATGTTGTTATGGATCACTTGATGCAACAATTTGTGATTTTCCTCACTATTTTCAGAATCGTCCAGTTTCAAATCTACAATTGACTTGTTCTTCAATTCGATTGAATGGAGAATCTTGGACAAATTTTCATCTGAGAATTTCCAATCCTTCATCAGTAACTTGTTACAAGCGTGATTACTCTCAATAAATTCAACAACGTTATCCACAAGTTGATTAGGTTCGACACAATTGGTTGCCAAATCCACAACCTCAATCGAATTATTCTTGGACAAGGAGTGAAGAATCTTTTGAGTGAGTGAATTGTCCATACCACAATTAGAAAAGTCTACAAAGGATACATTATCACTCTTTTCCAGAACATCGAGTAAATCATCCACTTGTTCAGGATCCAACTTGGATAAACTTCCATTAATCTTTGGATTGGAAATGATGGATTGGAATTGGACATTCTCAATTTCTCCCTTTTCAATATCATCGAGCATGTAATTCAACTCTTCAACGTAACTATCACTAACTTGGTAGACTTGAGATTCTTCACCTTCCTTGAGTTGTTGCTGGGATTTTCTCCTTGTGAGTGGCTTGTTAGCTTCAATGATGGTTTCTTCTTCCCATGAAGGAGTCATGTAGGTTTCCTTTTCGTGGTGTTGCTGAGCTTGGACCTTTGGTTTGACTTGTTCGACAACCTTGGTTTTCTTTTTCTTTTCTAGATTTTTATCATAGAATGGTTCCTTCTTCTCAACTTGCTTTTCTGATGGAATGGCTTGCTTGGAAACACCTTTGGATTTATCTGATTTCTCAGGAATTTTCGATTTGCTTACTCTGTCACTGTCCATTTCCATCACTGCAGCTTCTTGAGAGCCAGCATCTGCTGGTAAATCCTTCTTATCGACACTACCTAGTTTGTCTCGTTGTTCCTTGATTTCATCCTTCTTTGGAGTGACGCTTTGAACTGGTTGTTGCTTCTCAATCACCTGTTCTTGCTTTTGAACTGACTTTTGTGGAACTTGAGATTGTTGCTTCTTCAATTTGGAATAATCAAGTGAAATCTTTCTCAATTCAGAGTCCAAATCGCCAACCTGATTCTTTAACAATTCATTCTCTCTAGTCTTATCCTTAACTGAATCATTCAAGCGATCAATTTCATCTTCCTTTTGAGATAACTTGATGGAAATATCATGGAAATCATGCTTAATCTTCTCAAATGCATCCAACCTTTGAGTGTGTTCCTTCTGTCCCTTTTCGAGAGAATAGTTTTTCTCCTTCAGCTTGAGATTATCTTCATTTACAGATTGCAAATCTCTGTTGAGCAAGATGATTTGATCTTCGAGATTCTGCTTTAAATTATTCCAACGATCGAATTCAGAGTTGAACTTTCTAATCCTTTCCTTTTCTTTCAATATTTCAGTCTTCAATACTTGATTCTCACTTTGTAAAGTGTGAACTTGACCATTGAGATTCTCCTTCAATGCCTCAAATTCATGGATTTTCTTTGCTTGATTATTTAACATGACTTGAACTTCTTGCATCATTTGGAGTTGAGTCAAAGTGGTATGTTCGAGGCGATTCTTTTCATGAACGAGAGCATCTCTTTCCTTTCTCATGGATTCAAGCTTTTCCAAATCAACTTTGGTTTTGTTATCTTGACTTTTTTGGAGTTTCTCAATTTTGGATTTTTGCTTGGAAATGACCAAATTCAAAGTATCAATTTGCTTTTGTAACTTTTCTTGATCCTTAGAAATGGATTGCTCTTGTTCTGGGACGATAATCTTTTGTAAAGTTGGAGGAATCAATTGTTTAGGAATAATCTTTTCAACACTGGAAGAAACCTTATCTGAAACCTTATTAACCACAGGAGTTACCTTATTAGTGATATTATCAATGACATTCTTTGCTTTGTGAGTATCTTGTGCTCTCAACCTTGAAACATCAATTCTCAAATAATTGGAAACATCCTTGTCTGGAATTCTCAACAAGTCAACAAATATTAATTTGATAATTGGTAATGTAATATTTCCAAACCATTGATATCTCATCATGAATTGACTTGCCTTCTTGGTAATCATTTTCGGAATTTCGAATAACAAGTACTTTACAATTGAGAACCACCATTGGAACAGACGTACGAAAGGATACAAGGTAACAGAATAGGATAATGTAATAACTCCATAGAAGAATGATCGGATCATTGGAAGGAATTGCATGGAGGAAGCATTATCCGTTTGATTATGATCTTTCGTCTTGAATGAAAAGGTTTGAGAGTGCTGTTGTTGCTTGGAAACTATCATTTTGTGTCGTTTTTTTCAATGATTTGGAGTACTGCCAAAGTACTTTTAAAGTGAATATTAAAGCGTGATAAGCAAATTACAAATTTGGAAAAAATGAAAGTTTGGATTTAATCTATTTTGAGAACAAACCAAGTAGGATGATATTCTTCTCGAATTTTCCAATATTCCAAATGATTTCAATTGACATCAAATAAATTTTACGTTTCTAAAATTGATATTTTGGATGTTTGACTTACTGTTTTCTATTCGAATCTCTTGCATCGGTACTATCTCTAAGGGAATGAGGAAATCTGCCGCATAAAGAGGAGATTGATTGTATCAAATGCTATACAACTTTCACTGTTGTATCCATTTTATTGTTGGATGACGATAGGAGTACCATCCTTCTCAGAGGATTCTAATAATGCATCCAATACAATCATTGTCTTTTCAGATTCGTCTCCCCAATGTTTGTTTTCTGTTGGATTCTTAGCTCCCTTATAGAAACTTTCAAATAATTCCACATGTTGAGTTGATTCTTCACAAGTAATAGTTTCAAATCTGCCATGTTCAGCATGAATTCTGAATTTACCTTTCTTATCGTAAGTTTCTCTTGGGAAGTAAATATCTTCATTGTCCCAAGTTAAAACAAAATCATCAATCATAATTCTGTGACGTGGAAAGACAATTTCAGAGGTTTGTCTTTGTGCTTCCTCAAAACTACAATTCAATGTAGCAACTCTGCCACCACTGAAGAATAAAAGACCATCAAAGTTAATAATTGCTCTCAAATTTTCTTGATCAGATTCGAATTTCTTTGAATATCCAACAACTTTTTGTGGTAATTCATAATTAAAAGCCCACAAAATATTTCTAATAGAGTACCAACCCAAGTCCCCAAGACACCCAGTCTTTTCCAAATCAGTATTCATTCTAATGTCATGCAAATCATCCATGAAATAATTAGCAAATGAAGAATTAACTCTGACGAGCTTTTTAAATCTATCATCAGTGTTAAATAAATTCTTCAAATGATGAGTTCTCTTATTGTGAACCCACATTGTATTGTCCATGAAGAAGACTCCATTTTCCTCACAAGCTTGCTTCATCTTTTTAACAGATTCAGCAGATTGAAATGGCTTATCACATCTATTCCGATATTCCAATCGTTCATCATCATTATAATAATTGCATTATTTGATTATAATTAATATAATTAATATAATTAAAATAATTAAAATAATTAAAATATTAAAATTGATCATCTAAAGTATAATACTTACAAGACGTGTTTTCCTGCCTTTGCTGCCTTGATCACCAATTCTTCCTTCATTGCTGTAGGCACAGGCACATAGACAGCTTGCACTTCAGCACATTGCAACAATTCATCATAGGATCCGAAACTCTTCTCAAAGCCTTGTTCTTGAGCGTATTTTTCAGCTTTGGACAAATCCCGAGAGGCAACAGCGTACAACGAAGCAAAAGGAGATTGAGCAATTGCTTTGGCGACTTTGATGCCAATTCTTGAGGTGGAGAAGAAGCCAAAACGGAGAGGTTGAATATCACTTGTGGACATTTTTTTTTCAATTAAAATTTAAATATTTTTGTAATTTGATTTTTAAATAGTATTTAAAATTGTAATGACTCTTTACAATTAATATTCCTGGAAGTCAAATCCAATTTATCTTTTGATAAAATTTATCGAACTGAAACTATTAGATGTGGACATGCCTTCTTCAAATCTATGAGATCATTTCTTGAATATCCTGTTCCAAACATTCTTATGATTTTCAATGATTTCATTTGAGAAATTACTGAAATACTGTCCTTGTCAATATTTGCATGGGAAATCTCCAATTCAGTAAGTTTTTTAAATTCAAATTGAGCCAGCTTGATTAAAGTTTCATTTCCGAGTGAATTTGAATTCAACCTGAGAATTTCTAATTCTTTCATTTGTGATAAATGTTGTATTCCAGTATCGGTAATTCTAGTGGAATCTAATTTTAGTATTTGTAGATTTACTAAACCCGAAAGGGAAGCAAGGCCAGCATCGTATATGTTATTACTAAACATTTCCAAGTTTCTAAGTGTTTTGATGTTTCCAATAAAATTGGTGGAATTTTTTTCTAATCCACATCCAAAGATTGAAAGAATTCTCAATCTAACCAAATGAGAAAGTTCTTCAAAATCGTCATATCCAAGACTATTTTGACTTATTTTCAAAATCTCCAACTTTTTTAAATTGGAAAAAAAGGAAAGACCTCCTTTTGTAATTTTACACAAATTCAATTCAAGTTCTTTGAGATTAGTTAGATTGGAAAGATGAATACTTGATTGGCCAATATTATTTTGGGAAAGATTTAAGCTTTTGAGTGATACTGTTTGAGATAAATATATCATGGCCTCTTCTTGTGAAATTCTGTTCTGACATAATTTTAAAGTTTTCAACTTTTTCAAACTTGAGAATTCTTTAAAGCATTTCCCTTCTATGGAATTATCGTGCAAATCCAACTCTTCCAAATCTGTCAACATGGACAAATAAAAGCCACATTCATCGTTAATAATATTTTCTGATAAATCAAGTTTTTTCAAACTAGTAATTTTACACAGAAAAGATGTTGACTTGCTTGTCAGTGCACATCTACACAATCCCAAGCTCTCTAATTTCAAATCGGATATAAATTCAACACCTTCATCTTCAATATTGTTGTGGTGGAGGTTCAAACTCTTTAAAGTTGTGATTTTTCCAATAATCTTAACTTCTTGTGGACGCAATTTGGTAGATTTCAATTCTAGCCGAGTTAAACTCAAATTATGAATATATTTCAAAATTACATCGCCACTATCACAATAATTAATTGAAAATTCCTTCAACTTGGTTAATTTTGCCAAATACTTGAAATCATCCTCCTTCTCTCCTTCAAAAATTAAATCCAAACATGTCAAGGATTTCAAACTATTCAAAACTTTATAAATATTTCCAAAATTTCCTTTCAATTGCACCACTTGATTAAATTTTCCCTTTGCACAATTATTAATAAAGAATTGTTTCTGCTTTTCCTTCAAAGTTTCATTGACAGTTATCAGTCGGAGCGGAATTTCTCCAATAATTGAATTCCACTCTCTGCACACTAACCGACACGATGCGAGAAGATCAACACCATTGATGAATGGAAATATGTGATGATGAAAAATCTCTTCTGGTAATGCAAGTTCACACATTTTTTTTTAATTTTATTTTAATTAAAAATTTAAAATCTATTCGAAATTTACAGTAATGACACATGGTTATCGAATACAATGCAATTTACAGTAACAATGCAGGGTTCCGAAATGTTCCTAATGTTGTTGTCTTTTGGATCTGTTAGGAACTGTAGATAGAACTGTAAATCACAACTTTACAACTTTCTAATATACGATCATGCCCATTGCGAATAGATCACATCCAACTTGATTCATCAAAATGTTTCACAAACATTGTCCAGTTCGCAACTTGTTCTTTCCACTAACCAGTCCACCTTCCATATTAGTAAACCTATAAAACACTTTGTTCACATTCATTGTTAGTCAACCACAACATAAAAAAAATGAGTGATGGTTTTATTGTTTTGCCAACTGCATTGATTGTTAAAGATCCATGCAAGAAATCTGATAACTCTCTCGAAGGATTATTAGATCAGAGTGGTCAACATGGTTGTTCCACTCAATATGTTATGAAACCTAATGTCGAGTTGAAATTTGATAGAATTTATCAATTCACAACATTGGAATGTGTTTCAAACAAAAAGTATCCTGATGATCAGCAGAGATTGAGAGGTGTCGATGTTAGTGTTCGTTCGAATGAAACAGATCCTTGGAAGGCAGTTTGTTCTTTCAAAGAAGGAAATGGTATTCAATTGATTAATCTTAATGTTGCTGCTCGTTTTATTAAGTTTGATAGATTTGGAAAGGGTGAGGTTGCGTTTGGTAGATTGTGGGTCAGAGCTAGTGATGCTCTTCCTGTGAATATCAAGACTAAAGCTGGTGAGATTATTCAAGTTTCGAATGTGCAAGAGTCAGCAGTTGTTGATAATCTTGATGAACCTCAATACACAGAAGGTGAAATTAGTGTTATAGCTCCTACTAAATTGGTATTATCATCCAAGGATACTTGGGGAAACAATACCATTGAAGGATTGTTAGACGAAACTGGAAAGTATGGTGTTTGTACTCAAAATGGATCGAAGCAGAATGTTGTTCTCACGTTCAATAGAGTTTATTTGTTTACTTTACTAGAATTTAAGGCTTGTAGATTGGGAGAAAATAATCAGTTTGGGTTATTGGAAAATACCCAAATCGAATATAAACAATTGGAAAGTCAAGAATGGATTCCATTGAGAGAAATCAAGAAATCTGATATTAAGAAACATCCAGAAAGTAACTATATTCACTTTGATACTCCAGTTAAAGCAAGAGCTTTCAAATTCTCCAAATTAGGAAATGGATTCGTCCAATTATTTATTGGAATGTTGAAATTATTTGGTTATCATCCATATACTGATATCAAGACTGTTTCTGGTGTTGTTTCTAGATATAATGCTCAATCTGGCACAACTTCAGTTCCAGTTGTTGTTCAAGCAACTCCAATAGTAACTAGTCAACCAACAACAAGTCAACCAGTTGTTCAACCAGTAGTTTCACAACCAGTGGTTGCAACTCCAAAACCTCAAGTTGCTCAACCAGTAGTTCAACAAACTCCAGTTACCACTACTCAACCTAAACCACAAACTACTCAACCAGTAATAGCTCAACAACCACAAACTTCTCAACCAATTGTTGTATCTTCTGATGAACCAAAATTCACTTCAGGTGAAATCAACTGTGTTCCACCTCTCGAATTAAAACAATCCTCAAAGGACACTTGGGGTGATAACTCACTCCAGGGATTATTCGACGATTCTGGTAAATTGGGAGCATGCACAGCAAGAGGTTCGAATAATTACATTGAAATCAAATATGGCGCAGTGTATTTGTTCACTTATTTGGAATACAAGTCCAGTAAATTGGGAGACAACATGCAATTGGATTGTTTACAAAATGTCAGAATCGAATACAGAGTGAAAGAAAGTGATTCATGGACAATTTATGGACATATCAAGAGAAGTGATATTAAATTACGTCCTCAAGTCAACACTATTGAATTCACAACACCAATTAAGGCAAGATATTGGAGATTCTGTAAGGAAGATAATGAAAATCTCTTTTTTGGTATGATTCGTCTATATGGCTACTGTGACTATGTTCCAATTCAAACTAAAGGAGGTGTTATCCTATCAGTAAAAGAAGCACTCGCCCAATGGGAACCTAAATTCACTGGTCCAGAGGTAAATCTCATTCCAATTAAGGAATTAATTTCTAAGGGAGAATCAAGACGTGAAAATACCGTTGAAGGTTTGTTAGATGATTCTGGAGATTATGGTTACACCACTGCTAGTCATCAAAAGGAAATTGAGTTGGAATTTGAACATGTTTACTTGCTTACTCATGTGGAATACATGACCTTGTCACTTTCGAATGATCCAGTTTTTTATCTGAAAGGTACAAAGATTGAGTCCAAGGTAAAAGATTCAGATCCATGGACTTTGGTTAGTACTATTGAGAAGGATTCTATTCAACTTGGTCCACTTGTGAATACCATTACATTTACTGAACCAATTAAGGCCAAGAGATTGAGATTGGTGGCAGCTGACAGTTGCCTTGAAATTGGTATGTTTAGACCTTTTGGATACGCCCCATTCGTAGCAGTCAAAACCAAGTCTGGTCCACTTCTATCAAAAGAAGAATATGCAAAGTTTTTGGAAGATCCCTATCCAGGATGTCAAGAAATCAACTTGATTAAACCTGTATCCCTTTATAGAAATACTTCTAATGCACGTCAAAAAGCAGACCCTAAAGCAATTGAAGATTTATCGAAACCAGATGGTAAAGAGGGATTCAGCACAAGCTCCGGAACTTCCTCATTCATTGAAATGGCATTTGACAGAGTTTACAATTTCAGAGTCATGACTTTCAGAAACCACGAAAAAAGTGATCAATACGAAAAAAAGGATGGCACAGGAAGATACCAAACCTGCTCCCTCATCGACACACTCGTCGAATACAAGCTCACCAATAGAGATAATTGGCTTACTTACAGAAAAGTTTATTCCCTTACTACAAGTGTTAAGGGAGTTTTCATGTTGGATTTTGGTGAGGTTGGTTTGAAGGCAAAACACATTCGTTTTGTACAAAAACCACATCAAGGAATGACTGGTACGTTAGCTGCAGGTATGATGAGATTTTATGCATTTGCACCAGCTCAACAAGTCAAGATTGGTTCAGAGTTGCATAAGGAGATTAAGGTTGAATTGAGTAGAAAGGAAAATCCACAAGTTACAAAACTTTCTCCATCTAATCTTGTGGATCCAATCTATACGGAAAGCACTTGTCCTGATGTGAATGTTGTTGCACCAATCAAGATTCTCACCTCCCAAAATTCAAATAAGGCAAACAACTCAATTGAGGGTATTCTTGATGATAATGGTAAATACGGTACATCCATAGCTCAATCAGTTCACAATTATTTGATTCTCGAATTTGAAGCTGTCTTCCAATTCAAATATTTTGAATTTATGAAACATGAAAAGATTCAATTTTCGGACGAGCTCAAAACGTCACTCGTTTTATACTCCAAAGTTAATGAAAATGATCTGTGGACTCGTGTTCGACCACTTTCTGGTAATTTCTATCACTGGCCTAAACTAAACATTATCAAATTCGATGGAGAAGGAATCAATGCTCGATTCTTCAAATTCGAAAGAGTTTGTGGAGATTTCTCATTTGGCATGATTCAATTCTTTGCAGTAGCTCCTTTCGTTCCATACAATAGTTTGAACGGAGTGATTCTCTCAAGAGAGCAACAAGAAGCTCCCCACTTGACACCTTACAAGGGAAATCAAGTCAACTGTCTAGTTCCTGATGAAATTTATGTTGGATTGGATGAGGATGAAGTTTTGGGAAATAAGCAACCATCCTCCCTTGAAACTGAGCAAAGGGCTGAGAATACCATCGCAGGTCTATTGGATGATTCAGCAGAATATGGTATTTGTTCTGAATATGGAACTTTAATTATTGGTTACAACAAAATTCAATTCTTTAAATATATTGAATATTATACTCATGCCTTGTATGATGAAAAGAATCAAAAGAAATTCGCTTCAGACATTCAAGTTTATTACAAGATTAGACTTAATGAACCTTGGATTCCATTTGGTAAGAATATGGAACAGTCAAAAGTTTATCCAAATTTGAATAGATTTGAACTGAGTGATAGTTCAACTGGATTTAAGGCAAAATATTGGAAATTTGAAACAAGAGATGTATTATTATTAGGTACTTTCAAATTATTCGGTTTTGGTGAATTTATTGCTGCTCCAACAGTTACTGGAACACTTCGTCCAGTCAACCATGATTTTGCCACCGATAAACTCAATATCAAAGATTTGGTTGCCTTGGAAAAGTACTATTCCAAATACGTCTCTGAAAAATTCAAACCAATCTCTGAAGGAATGGGTCCAGTTAAACAACTTGACAATGATCTATCCAAATTGGTCAACCCAATTTTGGCGGGAACAAGTCAAATCAATATTATTCTTCCTGACAGCTCAACCTCTACCAATATCCAAACCAGAAGCTCCTTCACTCCAATCTACATCAACATTGGTAAGGTAGAATTCGAACTTCTCAATCTTCGTTTTGTCAACCCAACCAACACAACTATTTCAGTAGTTTCCATGAAAATCGAATATTTAGATCATGATAAGAAATGGATTCCTTTCACATATGCAGCAGATGTTACTTATTGGCAACCAGCTCTCATTAAAACCTTTGTAAAGAACAAGTTCACTGAAGAAGTTGAAGTAGTTTACAAAGAAAGCACAGATCAAGGTGAATATGTGCATTTGAGTAATTTCAATATTAATCCAGGCGAAACTGTTAATTATAACGTTAATGGTAAGACGATTTGCGAAGGAGAAAATCCAGAATACAATAATCATGCTACTAGTTTGGTTCCTCATTATTTCCCATATCCTAGTACGTTTAAGTTTAGTTTAGTCGATTCTTTGGGTGAAACTAAAACAGTAGAAGTAGTTTATATGCATCCAGAATTGAAAGAAATTCAAGATCCTCAAAAGTTTAAGGAAACAGCCAAATTGAGAGACCAAGATTTCTTTGCTGAAGTTTCGGATAATGTGAATAGAATTAATTCATTTGTTGGAGTAAGAGCCGATCCATCTGGTGAAGGAATAATTCTTTTCAACTCTGCCATCACAAAAGAAAACGAATCTACCAAGAAATTCGATTTAGGTCAATTGAGATTCGGATACGAAAATAAGAAACAAGAAGAACAATTATTATGGGATGCTAAAGGAAAATATTGTAGTGCCAAGTTCTATTTATTATCCGATCCAGAATTGCATTATAGAGCATTTGCTATTAAGGTTGTTGCAAATTCACTTTCCAAAGCAAATCACATTGAGAGAGTTTATTCAATTTATGAGATTTTGCAACATTTGAAGCCATTGGCTATTTCAAATAAAGAGTAATGAGCTCTAGAGTTTGCTTTTTCAAAGACATGTCCATTCTATTTAATTAAAACTAAATTAAACTAAATAAGAATAAATGAATTTATTGATCTAATACATCAAAGAGATAAAACTTATCACACCAAGGTAGTGAGATATAACAATTTGTTTGAAGATCATCCATACTGTTATTGGAACTGAGATAACTATCAAAGCTTGATTGACTAATTAAATTCACATCGCTTTCAGATAAAAACTCATCAGAATAATCCACAGTTTCGACTGGAGGAAGATTATTAACCAAAAGCTTCAAAAGTTCCATATCCAAATCAGTAACCTCACCAGACTCTAGAATGAAACTTTCGCATGGTGACTGTTTAGTTTCCACTACAGTTGGATTAAATTGATTCGAATTAAAAACAGTATTGCAAATTTCAGCATCTGCAAACATATTTTCAAATTTCTCATCAAAGTATGAACTCATTGAAGTGTTTTCACTTTCAATTTGAGTTGATCTTTCAACATATGAAATTTGGTTTCTAATTTGAATTGAGTTACAACGAGTTTGATTGACTTTTTTCTTTTTTCTTCTAGTCTGACAGCTGTCAACATTATCTACTGAAATATTATCATCTGAACAATATTCCTTCAATCTCTTTTCAGCTCCTCTCTTATCCTTCTTTGTAACTTCTGAATATAAGAACATGTGACATGTACTGCCACAAATCACTTGAGTCACTCTACATGAACCAGAAGTTGACTTTCCATTCTCAATTCTTTTTTGGAAAAGTGCAAGTGAAATCTTGAGATCGAATATTTTCCCACCAAATTCTTCCAAAGTAATGGTCAACTCTCCCGTTGGTATTAAATTATCAACTGGTTCATATTCATTCACTATATCTAATATTCCAAGCATTGATTTTGACTTGTTCAATTTGTTAATTTGAGAATCACTTAGTTGTTGTTTACCAAGTGCTTTTCTTGTATTAAAATGCATGTCAATAATTTTGACATTGGCATGCAAAATTAAGAATACTCTGGCAATTGGAACGGGTGAAGTAGAGTTGAATTGAAGTTTGACTCCACATGCATACTCTTCAGTTGTCAAACCATGTCCAATATCGTACTCTTTCATAACAAGCACAAATTTTCAGTTTAAAGTAGAGTTGTTTTTTTTGTGGTTTTGAAAATCAAATACTTTGCTGGATTTTAAGCATTCACGCATATGATTATTCAAATTTTGATCAATAGATACTAGCTTTCACAGAGAAATAATGAAAGTAACATTTTACCCTTTTACCCACAGCCATTTAAAAGTTTAGAAAATCAAAATATCGGCCTTACCATTATTCCAACTGACCACTTGATTCGTATTGTGAAACCAGTACAGTGTAAAATCTGTGAGAGCACAAATATACATTTAAGAGAAATTACTAAAAATGGATTTGAAGAGATATTCCGTTTTACTTGGCTTGTAATACGGTATTTGTTTTTAGAACATGTCCAAGGAATCTTAAATTGAATAGACATATTATTCAATCATTTGAACTCTCGAACTCTACCTATGAATCATTTAAAACATTTACAACCCTTGTCGGATTGCCAATAATTATTAAGAAATCATATTATCAAGCAACAAACAAGTTATGGAGCAGTAGTAGTCAAGTATTAAATCAAGAAATGGACAAGGAATTGGAAAAGATTGCAAATCAGAAAATGAAACAAGTGCTTGGTCCTTTAATTTCTGCATTTGAACTGGGAAGAGAAGTTCCGGCATTGATTTACTCCTTCATTCATGATGCAATATTTTTGGATATATCAGTTGATGCAAGATATTCATCTAGGAGAAATGCTTACGAATGTACTCTTGTGGTATTCGAAACAAAGGCAAAAAAAACAATTGAACGATAACACGTTATCAAGAAAAGAGCATCTAATAGAAAAAGTGCCTTACAATGGTTTTTGGGAGCCTCTAAATTAATGGAGCCAGAAGCATGTCGTTTAGCAATTACATCTTTGAAACACAAGTCATTTCCAGTAATGGGTTATGGTATTTTACATTTCAAAATTGGCTCTTTTGTTCATGACAAAGATTAATGGAATGTAATTATCATCATGAAATTGGAATTTATTTTTCCATTCAATATAATGATAATATTTGGAAATTAATTTTACATAATTTTGGTGAAATGTCAATAGCTGTTATTCAATATTTTAACAACTACTTATATAGTTAATTGAAAGATCATGTTTTAAAAGCACAGTGCTTAATACTATAATAGTTTGGATAATAAGAAATGAAGGTAAAAACAATAAATTCATCATGATGACAATGATTGTCATGTTATTTAAGGAAGAATTACTATCATAATATGAAATTAGAACAACCAATCACATGATCATTCAATTGTTAAGACAGTCGATTTGACGTTGCAATCAAACCAACTTGGCACTCAACTAGCAAGAATTTAAATATCTATAGCTATATATGAGGTAAGGGAGTTTTGGTATGCTGTGAATGTATGTCTCATATGGTTTGTGTGAGTTTTCTTATTTCCTCTTCCAACATTTTAATTCTTTCTAACAGGTTGCTATTTTCATCCGAAAGTTTGGTTTTTTCATCTGTAATTTTGTTATTTTCTTCAGCAAGTTGAGAGTAACTTCTTAATGGTGAGATTTTCTTCAATTCTCCAACTTGTTTTTCAATATTCAAAGTGATATCTTTGATTTCACCTTTCAAAAATTTCAAAATATTCTCAATTGTTAACTTGTGAGAATAACAATCCAATCTTTTTGATGAATCTCTTTGAATCATGCTAATAATGCTTCTAATTAATATGTTATTCACTCCTAAATCTGGATTAATCGTTTCATTGATTAGTTTTTCAATTGCATAATGTAATTTCATTTCTCCCTCTGTTGTTGTTACAACTGTATAGAAATATTTTCCATGACCACTAAAATATGGATACTTGTCATTATATTTTGAGACATCTGAATCATTAACAAATGTTGAACATAGTTGTAATGGACAATTTGTTAATAATTTCAATAAAATACATCCCAATGAAAATATATCACATGAAATGGTAATTTGTCCAACATTGTGAGCAAGTTTTTCATCATCACCACTTTTCAATAAATCATCAGAATAATTATCATGTGAAACTTCAGGAGACATGTATGCAAACTTTCCACGAGCTATTGTAATTGAATTACCTGTCTTGATAACTCTTGATGTTTCAAAATCAATAATTTTGTATAAATCTTGAACTTTGACAATATTTTGAGGATCTAAATCTCTGTGTAAAATATTGTGATCATGAATTGATTGAACTGAGTTCAATACTTTGATAAATATTTCAAGAATTTCAATCAACTTTTCCTTCTTAATGAATCCATTTCTATAAATTTCACTTTCATTATTTCTTGAAATGTAATTTGATAATGATTCCTCTCCAAGTTCCATCACTGAATATAAATGATTTTGAATAATTTCACAATCAAAACATTTGATCTTTCCTTCAATGTCTGTTCTGTTCAATAAATTAATGGTTTCTTTTGTTGATTCTTCAGATTCCTCTGGGTCATATTTTAATTTTAATGCCCTTAATGATTTACTACTTTTATGAAATACTTTGAATGCAACACCTTCACCTCCATATCCTAATACTGAAATGAAATCATAATCATTTTTGAAATAATTATAGAAATAATTGAGAGATTTGAATACTTTTGATAAATCTCCTCTCAGCTCGTTATATTTACAAATTATTTGTTTGTAATTTTCAAATGTTTACTCATTTTCAAACCACTTGTTGGCAAAAATCATAATTTCATTAATTTCCTGTTTTGTATAAAATGACGTTTCAAAGTTTGTTGCAACTTGTTCCACAATATTCTTCAAATCTTTCATTCTTGTTGATTGACAGGGATTATCTTCAAGAAATTTGTCCAATCTGAAACAATATAAATAATAGTTAGCTTTGGTACTTTGTAAATCAATAAGAGCAATAATATCATTAGACAATTCTGAATGGTTCATTTGTTTCAATATTTGAAAAATAATCAATTTTTCAATAAATATTGGTGTATAGATAGAATTGAAATTGAATATTGTACCTTTTGGTGTTGGATTAAAGAGACTTGTTAATTCAATAGCATAATATAAATCCTTTTCATCCATAAATATTTTGGAGTATTGTTCAATTATATTGCTTGACAGCTTTCTCTGAAGATTAATGGATTCTTCAATGGTTTTGGTTATAGAGGGTGAGAACTTTCTTGCATTTTCTTTGTTCAATTTAAAAAGTGAATAAGTAAAAACGATATCTCTTTGTAAAGATGAATCAGCATATTCAAGTGCCAATGAATGTTGTTTAACTGCTTCCAATATAAATTCTCTATCTCTTTTAAATGATGAATCAACATATTTAAGTGCCAATATATCTTGTTTAACAGCTTCCGAAACAACTTCTCTATCTTTCTTCAATAATGAATCAGCATATTTAAGAGTCAATCCATGTTGTTTAACAGATTCCAATATAAATTCTCTATCTTTTTTCAATGATGAATCAGCGTATTCAACTGCTGATCCATTTTGCTTAACAGCTTCCAATACAATTTCTCTGTCATTTTGAAAATAAGCATATTGCAGTGCCAATCCATCTTGTTTAACTGCTTCCAATACAATTTCTCTATCTTTCTTTAACAACGAATCAGCATATTGAATTGCATATCCACGTTGTTTAACAGATTCCAATGCAATTTCTCTATCTTTTTTCAATGATGAATCAGCATATCGAAGTGCCAATCCATTTTGTTTAACAGCTGCCAACACAATTTCTCTATCTTTTTGTAATGATAAATCAACATATTCAAGTGCCAATCCATCTTGTTTAACACATTCCAATACAATTTCTCTATCTTTCTTTAACAATGAATCAGCATATTGAATTGCATATCCACGCTGTTTAACAGCTTCCAATACAATTTCTCTATCTCTTTTCAATGATGAATCAGCATATTGAATTATTAATCCGTTTTTTTTAACAGCCTCCAATACAATTTCTCTATCTTTTTTAAATGCTTCATCGGCATATTTAAGTGCATTTCCACGTTGTTTAACAGCTTCTAACACATATGTCCTATCGGCCTATTATTTGTGATAGTCATCACACCCCCATTAATAAAATCGCATCACAAAACACAAACCCAATCTTCAGACATTTTTTTTAAATAATAAAAATAATTTAAATATTAATAATTTAATTCCTTCTCATTACCGATCACGTTTAATGGTTTGTAAATTTGTGGTTTGACATGAGGATAGTACGTTGTTGTAATTGGGTAATGAAATATCAGGTGTCAGATTAGTATAATAATCAAAAAAAAAAATGTCAACTGAATTGCAATTAAAAATCATCAAAGCAACAAATATTCATGCTGCTGATAGATCTGGTACGAGTGATCCCTATTTAACTTGTTATTTAAAATCAGAGAAGGAAAATGATGCAATCAAAACGTCAGTAATCAAGGAGACTTTGAATCCCGAATGGAATTTGAATGTGAAATTTACATCTCTTCAGAATGATGAGCAGATAATGTTTCGGTTATATGACTGGAATCGTTTTCAATCAAATGTAAGTCAATTAGTTTAGTTTAAATTGATGGAAAGTTTATTAGAAATTGATTGGAAGTTGCCAATTGTCAATTGACCAATTAAAACCTGGTTTGCGCAAATACATAGAACTCCCATTTGATAAAGGAGGTGTTTTACATTTAGAATGTTCACTTTCTATTGTAAATCCACCTGAAACTCTTACAGAAGGTTTCAAACTTTACAAAACTTATCCTTGGTCAATTGAACTACCTTCCACTTTTACAATGGAAAAATCTGATAAAGATTTGGGAAGAGTTTGGTTTAGAGAAAATGATTTTGAACGAATTGGCATTTTACATTACAATAATCGTCAAGATTTAAACTTGATTATTGATCAATCAATTGATCATCATGAAATTGTAATGGAATTTCAAATTTTCAGTGAACAATTCAAATATGAAATGGAGATTTACACTCAATCTATTCAGAATAATCAAATTTTCCATAATTTATTTGTAAAATACGATCAATCCATTGTAAGATTTTGTAAACAAGTTTTAAAAGATTATGAAAATCAACAAGAATTTGCACAAGTTTTATCATTTTTGCAAAGATTGGCAAAAGATTTGAGAATTAAGGAAAAGAGAAGTAGAGTTGCAAATGGAATTATGAATTTTTGGGTAGAAAGAGTTGTCAATCTTTCAAATGTCACTAATCTTTCAGCTTGTAATAATTCCAAGAATTCTCATGGATCTTTCTATGCAGAAAGTGGTAAGAATGGAGAATGGAATTACAATTTTTCAGGAAATGGATGGAATGGTGGAATTACCGTAATGGGAACTGATTCGTCCAATGGAAAGAAAGTTTCATTCGAAACTGAGAAATTATCAATCTTTCCAGAAGATTTGGAACCTGGAAGAATCTACGAGGAGAAATTATTTATCGATCGTTTAGCTCATGTCGAGTTTCGTTTCCAATATATACCTGAGACGAAACAACTTGGAATGCAAGAATTGCCAAAAAGGACGAAAGTGGAATGGCCTAAAGGAGAATCAACTGACTTGAATGGAAGAAATGTGTTTAGTATTGGAAAGTTTCTGAAATTACATTTGCTATCTTCATTTGTTGAGAAGAAAACTAGAATTGAAAGCATGTTAATTGGAGAATACGAAACTATTCGATTTATATTGAATGCAAAATGCGATTTGGACGATTCTTCTGATTTTATGAAAGAAATTGCAGAAAAGAAACCAATTTCTACCACTGAAATTACGAATCTACTTTCGAATACAACTTTCGACAAGATTATTCTTGTGGAGGGAAGAATTTTTGCAAGTATTTTCGCATGGAAACAAAATGTCAAGATTGTACTGACTTGTTTGTTTGCTGAGGCGACACCTTTCGAAATTGCCAAATCTTTTCTATTAGATACTTTACAAAACGCTGAAATAGTAACTTTCGAATAAAATTTAATTAGTTAAACGAATGGAAATTATGACTATAAATGATGTTGGATGAGCTCATAATTGTATTTCGTACATTAAGCCCAAATTTCTTACAGAGATATGCCAACTGACAATGAGTGACATGTTTAAGGAAGTTTCGTATAGCGGACTAGTTTCTGTAAATTATGTTCTGAAAGGAAGGGATAAGAATCAAAGATTCAAACTTCAGTAACATTGTCTACTAGTACATCGTATTTAGCTCTTAAAAAAATAACAAAACTAGCTCTAGGAGAAACTTATTCGAAATGAAACTATTTTGCTTGTCGTTGATGTTTTATTGCTTTACATTTATTGTACTACTCACTTCTCCCCGAGTTTCTGCAGACTATATTACTCCCTCATTATCCGAAACTCAATACATGTCGAATGACATTTATCAAGCAATTGATAAAGCAATGTCAGATGTCGTGAGTAGCCTTCCAAGTCCCTTCTTGTGTCGAAAGAACAACTTCTTATCCCAATTCGAATCCCTTTCCAACAACCAAAACTAAACTAAACATTTGTTATGAAGAACCAACAGATGTCTGGAGAAATTTCTATAAACAAGCAGGTGACTTACTAGTTTCCACTTTAAATTCCAAATATCCAGATGCCAAATTGAAAGCCAATCATATCATTATTAATACTTCCATTTTGGGATATTTTGACACATTGACAAGAGCAGTCGACAGTGGATTGTGTGATGTTGTCACGAGTAATACAATTTATTCACAGGAAAGAGCACGAAAAGTTAATTTTAATTGTGGATATGGAAGTTCTTCCACTGGAGTTTTACTTTCGAATAAGGCACATGCCTTAAACTATTCCTCAATTCAAGATTTACAAAAAGCTCCTTCACCAGCATTTACAGTTCTGAAGGGATCTTATTTTGTTGCTTTGGGTCAAGCCACCTTTCCAAATGCATCCATTATTTATAAGGAGAATTATGATGGCATATTCCAGGAAGTGATGGATGGAACAGTTGAGGGAATAATAGCTGATGCAATTGATTTGATTTATTGGTTGAATAATAACAAGCAGAATTGTACACATTGTGCCATTCGATTGTTTGGAGAAACGTACAAGTATGGTTCGTTTGTTACGAGGAATATCAGCAGTGGAACTAGTGGACTATTTGATTCTTCATTGGTGTCTATTGCAATGTTTCTTGGAATGATCTTGATTTCAATTGTCGTGTGTTAGAAATCAAGTGCTTGTCATGGTCAAGAAATTCTAAAATACTTGGAAAGTGAATGAGAATAAAATAGGGTTTTTAATAAGAGTTTATTCTTGGGCAGCTTCTGAGGCAGCAATACGACCAAAAACTACACATTCTAACAAGCTGTTACCTGCCAAACGATTCTTACCATGACATCCACCAGTGACTTCACCGGCAGCATAGAGATTTCTAATTACTTCGTTTGTATCTTGAGTCTTTCTACGCAAAACTTGTGCCTTATTGTTGAATAAGAGACCACCTTGAGTGTAGTGAACAGCAGGTGTAATTCTTGCCACAAAGAATGGAGTAGTTTCCTTACTCTTTTCCAAATTGAATTTAGATGGGAAAACTGTCTTTCCAAATGAATCCTTATAGTTAGGATCTGATCTTCTATAATCGACTGAATAATCATAATCAATAATGGTATCTTCGAGGTTGGCACAAAAGTTGGCAGACATGTTCAATTCTTCCTTTTGACACAAATCTTCAAAGTTTTCATATTTACGAATGAGACCCTTCTTGGCATAGAAGGAGGTCAAGCTTTCACCAAATGATTTCATAACAAATTCATTCATAATCATGTAGGCAGTAACGTGAGGATAATTTCCTTCCTTCCACAATTTTCAAAGATGGCATCACTGACTTCATCTCTTGTACCCAATTCATTGACAAATCTCTTACCCTCTTGATTGACAATAATAGCACCATAACCTCTCAATGATTCTGGAGCGAGAATTAATGTCATTGCAGTAGGATTGGCTGGATCAACAAAGGCAGTAGGGTGAATTTGAATTTCTCCCATATCAATCAAGGATGCGTTTACATCTCTGACAGCCATCTTTATACCATCACCTGTTGCCCACAAACCATTAGTTGATGGTAAATTGACAGAGTGTGGAGCGAATTGCTTCAAATAACCATCTCTATCTTGACCATAACCACCAGCTGCCAAAATGATAGAATCTCCCATAATTGTTTCAGTAGTATTTTCCTTAATGTTCAAAACCTTGACACCCTTGACAATGGTTTCTCCAAGATCATTTTCTTCAGAAATTAATTGAATGGCATGATGTTCAGTCTTGATGACAACACGCTCAGCCAATTTTTCTCTAATAAAAGCAGAGAGCTTGGAAATAATATCACTTCCAATGTTAATTGGTTTGTCACTCTTGTTAATGCTTCTGTGAGTTCTTGGCTTTGAGTGGCCTCCACATTGGGAAACAACATCCATTTTCACATCAAATGATTGTAAGAATTGGAGGGCTGGCTTGGAATCCTTGACAAGAGTTTCCAAAATTCTCCAAGAATTTTCTGTAATTAAATTTTCCTCTCCTTCAACCTTCTTCTTATTCTTTGGATTTCTAATGATTCTTCTAGCTTCCTTGAGGGTAGACAAGACCTTTCCTCCTGTGAAAGACTTGATAGTATCATTCCAAAAGTGAGTATATGAATCAAAGACGAGAACGTTTCTTTGTGTTGTTGTTTGGATAGCATTCATACCACTGGTTGCCTTGGCACTGTTTCCTCCAAGTCTAGGTTCCTTTTCAATGAGAACGACATCTTGATCGTAGGTGTAGGCAGATTCGAGAGTAGCTGTCAAGCCAGCAAGACCACTACCAATAACAATAATCTTTCTTCTTGGCTTTCTAAGGCTGACACTTTCTCCAAAAACTCCCTTCACAAGGTGTTGAATAGATTGTGTGTAATAATTCTTGAAAATTTGGAAATGGGTAGTGTTGGAAGCAACAGTGACATTACAAGTTTCCTTATTGGTGCAAACCTTTTCAACAAAGGTATTAAAAGCTTCAATTGGAACAAGAATATCATCCTCAGCTTTCAAAATCCATGTTGGAATATTCTTCAAGGAAATATCAAAGTTAGGTCCATAATTTTCAGTGAAATAATAACTATTATAAACTTCTACAAGGAAAGTCATGGTAGTAAATCTGTAGGTATCAATCATGGTATTGTTAAAAGCCTTCTTCCATCCAGTAGCTTCATCATGGAAAATGAATGAATCTCTTCCCAAAGGATCAAGCATGAATTTCATATTTTCTTCCCAATATTTGATATTAGTGATAAATCCCAATTGTGAAACCATCTTGTATACAGCATGAACAATATTAGTTCCGAGTGGTGGTTGATAATTGTGGAAAGAATAAATTTGATGAAGGTTTGAAGACCATCTCTTGTGCTCAGGAATGGTCATGTCTTGCTCTTTCAAGAGAGCTTGTCTGACCTTTTCTGAATAGAAACCTTGTGGTGCCATCAAGACAACTCTGTCGATGGTAACATCTTTCCATGACCATTCAGTAGATGATGTATAGTTTGAAACTCCATTTTCAAAAGTCCAATACTTTTCGGAATCCTTTGACAATAAAATCTTGGTCATCAAGTCATTGTGGAATCTTTCAGTGCTCTTCAAGTGAGCATGAGTTACCTTTTCACCACGTTCTCTCTTCTTTAATTGTTCCAAATAGTGTGAAAGCATTGTAGCATGAGCAGCACCTTGAGAATAAGCAAAGAGTGAAAAGTGCTTTAATCTCAACTTTCTCACAACATATAAAAGGTCCAAAGCACTAGCTTCATAATAATCCACATTGAAAGGTTCCAAATTATAGACAGGATTACCTTCCGAGTCAATACTAGATATTATTGGAGTAGATTGACCAATACCAGGTCTATCAAGACTGAGAATTCTCAACTTTTTGTCTCCTCCGAAAGTCCTCACAAAGTGATGATCAACTGGATACCTCCATCGTCTAGATCCAGGAGTTCCATGAATTTGGAAAATAGTATAATATGTTTTTTCGTCATCTGTTGTTAATCCACATGATGAAGATTTTTCCAAGTATTCCAAAATTATTGTTATTCATTGATGAATATTGCATTGTATATTATATTATTGTTAATTATTAATTATTAATTGAAAATTATTGTACAAATATTACATACCATCATTCACAACTTTGGTTGAATTTACAGTTCCGATTTCATCAAGAGCAATTTTTCTCAAGCTCTTTGGTTGAACAAGTCTTCTTCTATTCTTTCCGGGTGATGACGATGAACCTTCCTTCACAATACTACTCTCATCATGAATGGAAAATAAATTCAAATCAGCAAAATTTAAAGGATTAGTATTCATATCATCAAAATGCTTTGTATTAGCTGGTGGAGATCTCTCCAAAAAGAAATAAATATGAAACAAAACAAAAGAGCACACAAACGTGCTCACCACTCCGAGTTTGATGGCCGTGGCAAGGCAAGAAACAAGTTTTGTCATTTTTTTGTTTTTCTTCTTCCGATTTTAATTATTCAATATTCAATATTTAATATTTAAATATCAACTTAATAACTTTTCAAAAGTATTATATCAAAAAGCTTATTTTCATATTGTAATCGTATCAAACACGTGGTGTTTCGTCTTCATCATAAATTTTAGAAGGAAACAATTTTTCTTGTGCTTCATAAAAAATGCGTTAAACGTGAAACCGCCAAAATTTGCTTTGAATTCATCATTCGAAAAAAACAACAGCAAAGGCTGCTAAAATTCTAAGAAGAAAAAGGCTTTGTATTATTATTCGAGTTCGTGTAGGCACTAGAACAAGTTTTGTTAATTTATCAAGTCTTCATTACCTTCATTATCAACGTGAAAGATAATTATCATCATCACCCGATCGGTTAATATTCATCATCATCATTAATTATTCAAGAAGATGGAAAGAAAATTGAACCTCACTCCTTTGAATAAGAATAGAAAGGCTGTTGTTGCTACTGAAGAAGAAACAGATGAAGTATCATCTCCAGTGACTGGCAATGATTTTCGTTCATTATTAGAGGATTACAACTTGAAATCACCAACTTCTATGCAAATCAAAGTAGTCAAGAAGGAATTGCACAATTCATCACCATCTTCGTCACCAACAACAACAACACCAATAGAACAAGAAGAACAACAAGCAACACCAACACAACACAGACAACCAGAAGAAAGAACCTTTAAAAATTCATCTTCACGAAGGGTTTGTTCCTTTGCTGAGGAAAGACCTATTTCTGATGAGGCACTCATGAGAACTCCTAATAGATTTAGTACTTCAGTTCTTCCTCCAATGGCTTCGTCTCTTGTTGATGTCGATGATGAGTTGGATTATGTGGAAGTGAAGAGAGGTTCCACAACACCAATTGTACCCAATTCAGCTCAGCAATCAGAGATTCTGTCACTCTTCTCTACTCCTAATATTGATACACCAGCCAGAGCACTACAAACTCCTTCGACAAGTACTCAACCAATATTACAAGATACACTGGCAGTTGAGGATATTGCCGTTGTGCCACCAGTGTTAAATTCAATTAATAATGAATTGAAACAAGCAGCTTTAGAAGAGGAAATAGTGATTTCGAGTGTCACCAAGGTTGAATCCAATACTAATTTGGAAGAAGAATTGAAAGAGTTGGAAGAAAAGAAAATCCAAGAATTGATTAAAGGAAGTGAAGAGGAAAGATTATTATTCATAGATCACAAACGATCACTGTGGGTATTAGCATTGTTAATTGCATTCTCTGTGGTTATTTTAGACTCTGTATTGTTATACTATTATAGCTACACTTGCCTTACCATGGTTTTTCTGAGCTTATTTAAATTATATATTCAGCCAGTCGCTACTGATCTATCCAATTATTATGAAATTAGCCATAAGACACAAGCCCTCCTGCCTTCAATAACTTCGTTCATTTGTTGTTGCTTGGCATATTTCTTAATGTTTGTTTTCCTGCTCTCTAAGGTTTCATTTGAGTCCAAATGGAAACGCACACGTAGAGAGAATCACAGAGCTACGTTGGCTAGATTAGAATCCATACAGCTTAATCAAAATTGTACAAATTAAATGTAAAACTCTAACAATGTTACAAAAGGAATATTATAAGAGATTCATTTATTTCTTTTTAAATTGTTGAACGACATACTTTCTCAGAGTTGCAGAGACACTCTGACGAACAATCTTCTTCTCAGGAGGACTCTGTGGAACAACTCCATTTCCAACACTGAACGTTAACAATTCAGGAGTGTAATCACTGGCATTGCTACTGATACTGATATTTTGATTCTCAAATTTAAAGTTTCTACTATTGGTCTTGCTTAAAGTTTCATCAGCAGATGGTAGTGGTGTTGGCATTGATTTGTTTTGAGTTTCGTAAACTCCTTCCTCAATGTTCTTCTTGATAATTTCACTCAGGAGACCTTCTAATGCTTCTTGGATATTCAAATTTTCACATGCACTAGTGACAAAGAATGGAAAATGATGAGTATCTCCAAGAGCATAGCCATACTCTGCATTAATGGTCTTGAGGGCTGATGGTTTCTGATCGCATTTACTCATTATAAGGACCATTGGAGGATTATCAATTGTCGATGGTTTAGAACTATTTACATTGGAAGAGGCAGCACTTGCTGAGGAGGTTGAATTCATTGTTGCTGAACTATTATTACTTGCAGAGGACAATCGAGCACTACTCGAACTGTGTGAAGCAGCTGCATCCGAATGTTTCCTTGCAGGATTTTCATAGTAGGCAAATTTACACTCATCAATATAATTCTGAATCTTGGCAAATGATGCCTTATTATTCATATCAAAAACCAACATGTATCCATCCACTGAAGACAAATCAGTTGCTTCCTTTCTCACTTCCGATCTCCCACTCGTATCCACAATGGTCACTCTACAAATAATGTCCTGCTCGAAATTATAAACCACATCCGAAAGTAATTCATCCACATAATCATCAATGTCCTCTTCCTCAGTGATTACTCTTCCAAAATCTCCATCCTCTCCTGATTGATTATTTCCAGCATGCTCATGAGAAGATTTTTGTGGAGAATCACTCGTTGTTGATTTCTTCTTGAATAAACTAAACATTTTCTTTTGTTTCTCCTCAAGTGCTTTTTTCATTTCCTCTTCCTTTTCTCTTTTTTGTTGAATAATTGATAGCAAAGTATTATCCAATTTCATATAATTTCTCAATTCCATTGGTATTAATTCCAAATCATGTGCCAATTGTTTATATCCATAAATATCACCTTTGGGATTACTTCTCATTAATTCATTCGAATCTCCTTCACCACCATTCGAAACTATTTCTTCCACCAAAGGTGCTGGCAACCTAAACATAAACTGTACCTTACAATTATACTCATCTTCAATCGTTGGTTCATGTTCTGGCACAAACGTCTCCTTTCCAGCACATCTCATTGCAATATTCGATTTTCCAACACATTCATCTCCAATGATGGCAATTTTAAAATCTTGAAAGAAGGGAATGGCTCGGATCGTTCTTCTACGATCTTGGTGAATGGATTGACGTTGTTGAAATGAATTTCGTAACGATAATCTCTTGATGAAACTTGGCATTTGGCAGTTTGACTATTTTGTAGTTGGAAAAAAATTAAAGGCTTTGAAGAAGGCTACTAGTATTCAGAATTGATAAATGGATGACGAAAACTCGCGTTTTGTTTTTGATATTTTTTTTTAAAGTTGATTACTGACAAGCTACTTAATTAGGATTGAGCGGCAAACTCAAAAAACATCAAGTTATGACCAGACCTAGATCCACAACACCTCATATCTTTCGAATATTTTCAAGAAGAAACAAAACTAAACCTTAAAATGATGACATGCCAACTCTCCTTTTACAAGGATCTACCAGCATAGCTTCAATGGAACACCTAATGCCGAATCTCTCCCAACAGATCCACCAAATTAGCTTACGTTGTAGTTTGGTATCTGCAAGCAACGGACGAATAATTTTGTTTATGTGTTTGGTTTTGTTTAGTATTTGGTTGATCATTTTCTTAAGTAAGGTTGACCAGAACCCCCCTCAATCCGTGCAACGTAACGGGGAAGAAATGAAGGAAGAGACACCTAGTTGGACATGCCACCAATCAATCTGTGAAAAATGAATGTAATAAATTTTGTAAATTTTCAGAGAATTTCACAGATTTATGGTTTAGGATAAAATTGGGCTTTTTGGAAGCATCTCTAGCAAGAAGTATGAATGTGTGGGAAACTCTCTTGCATTTACTTTCGTTTTTTAATATTTATCACTTATTGGTCTGTTTTTAGATTTATTATTTCCTCTTCCAACATTTTAATTCGTTCCAATAAAGAGTTCTCTTCCAATAATTTAATTCTTTCTAATAGTTTGGTATTTTCCTCTACAAGTTGAGAGTAACTTCTTAATGGTGATATTTTCTTCAATTCTCCAACTTGTTTTTCAATATTGAAAGTGATATCTTTGATTTCTCCTTTCAAAAATTTCAAAATATTCTCAATTGTTAACTTGTGAGAATAACAATCCAATCTTTTTGATGAATCTCTTTGAATCATGCTAATAATGCTTCTAATCAATATGTTATTCACTCCTAAATCTGGATTAATTGTTTCATTGATTAGTTTTTCAATTGCATAATGTAATTTCATTTCTCCCTCTGTTGTTGTCACAACTGTATAGAAATATTTTCCATGTCCACTAAAATACAAGTAATTATCATTATATTTAGAGACATCTGAATCATTCAGAAATGTTGAACATAGTTGCAAAGGACAATTGGTTAATAATTTCAACAAAATACATCCCAATGAAAATATATCACATGAAATGGTAATTTGTCCAACATTGTGAGCAAGCTTTTCATCATTACCACTTTTCAATAAATCATCAGAATAATTATCATGTGAAACTTCAGGAGACATGTATGCAAACTTTCCACGAGCAATTGTAATTGAATTACCTGTCTTGATCACTCTTGATGTTTCAAAATCAATAATTTTGTATAAATCTTGAACTTTGACAATATTTTGAGGATCTAAATCTCTGTGTAAAATATTGTGATCATGAATTGATTGAACTGAGTTCAATACTTTGATAAATATATCAAGAATTTCAATTAGTTTTTCCTTAATAATGAATCCATTTCTATAAATTTCACTTTCATTATTTCTTGAAATGTAATTTGATAATGATTCCTCTCCAAGTTCCATCACTGAATATAAATGATTTTGAATAATTTCACAATCAAAACATTTGATCTTTCCTTCAATGTCTGTTCTTTTCAATAAATTAATGGTTTCTTTTGTTGATTCTTCAGATTCCTCTGGGTCATATTTCAATTTTAAAGCCCTTAATGATTTACTACTTTTATGAAATACTTTGAATGCAACACCTTCACCTCCATATCCTAATACTGAAATGAAATCATAATCATTTTTGAAATAATTATAGAAATAATTAAGAGATTTGAATACTTTTGATAAATCTCCTCTCAGCTCATTATATTTACAAATTATTTGTTTGTAATTTTCAAATGTTTGCTCATTTTCAAACCACTTGTTGGCAAAAATCATAATTTCATTAATTTCCTGTTTTGTATAAAATGACGTTTCAAAGTTTGTTGCAACTTGTTCCACAATATTCTTCAAATCTTTCATTCTTGTTGATTGACAGGGATTATCTTCAAGAAATTTGTCCAATCTGAAACAATATAAATAATAGTTAGCTTTGGTACTTTGTAAATCAATAAGAGCAATAATATCATTAGACAATTCTGAATGGTTCATTTGTTTCAATATTTGAAAAATAATCAATTTTTCAATAAATATTGGTGTATAGATAGAATTGAAATTGAATATTGTACCTTTTGGTGTTGGATTAAAGAGACTTGTTAATTCAATAGCATAATATAAATCCTTTTCATCCATAAATATTTTGGAGTATTGTTCAGTTATATTGCTTGACAGCTTTCTCTGAATATTTAAGCATTCTTCAATGGTTTTGGATATAGATGGTGAGAAGTTTCTTGCATTTTCTTTGTTCAATTTAAATAGCAAATAAATAAATTCTCTATCTTTTTTAAATGATGAATCAGCATATTCAAGTGCTGATCCATTTTTTTTAACAGATTCCAATACAATTTCTCTATCTTTTTTAAATGATGAATCAGCAAACTGAAGTGCCAATCCATTTTGTTTAACAGCTTCCGATACAATTTCTCTATCTTTCTTCAAAAATGAATCAGCATGTTTAAGTGCTGATCCATTTTGTTTAACAGCTTCCAATATAATTTCTCTATTTTTTTTCAATGATGAATAAATATATTTAAATGCCAATCCATTTTGTTTAACAGCTTCCAATACAATTTCTCTGTCTCCCTTAACTGATTCATCAGCATATTTAAGCGCTGCTCCATTTTGTTTAACAGCTTCCAATACAATTTCTCTATCTTTTTTAAATGATGAAACAGCATATTGAAATGCATATCCATTTTTCGTAACAGATTCTAATACAAATTCTCTATCTTTCTTCAATGATGAATCAGCATATTCAAGTACTAATCCATTTTTCGTAACAGCTTCTAGTACAAATTGTCTATCTTTCTTCAATGATGAATCAGCAAATTCAATTGCATACACATTTTGCTTAACAGCTTCCAATACAATTTCTCTATCTTTTTTAAATGATGAATCAGCAAACTCAATTGCCAATCCATGTTGTTTAACAGCTTCCGATACAATTTCTCTATCTTTCTTCAATGATGAATCAGTAAATTCAAGTGTCAATCCATTTTTCTTAACAGATTTCAATATAATTTCTCTATCTTTTTTCAATGATGAATCTGCATATTTAAGTGCATATACATTTTGTTTAACAGCTTCCAATACAATTTCTCTATCTTTTTGTAATGATGAATCAGCATGTTTAATTGCCAATCCATCTTGTTTAACAACTTCCAATATAAACTCTTCATCTTTTTTCAATAACTCATCGGCATATTTAAATGCATATCCATTTTGTTTAACAGATTCCAATACAATTTCTCTATCTTTTTTAATGATGAATCAGCAAATTCAATTGCCAATCCATTTTGTTTAACAGCTTCCAGATTCATCGGCATTTTCAAGTGCCAACCCATTTTGTTTAACAGCTTCCAACACATATTTCCTATCAGCCTGTAATCATCACACATTTAATAAATAATTTTAAATCTCGCATCTCAAAACACAAACCCAATTTGCAGACCATTTTGTGATCGGCCATTTTTTTTCAATTAATAATAATCTATCAAGGTGTGGGAGGTGATGTGGTTGCATTTTTTTTTAAATTAACCCTTATTCATGAATACAGTTCACCTTTCTTCATCACCTGAAGTGCCAGCACGTGATGTCTGATGAAATCAAACTTTTGGCGCCATTTCAACTTCACTCCTGCAAATTCAATTCATTTCATAAAAAACAAAAACAATGAGTAGACCTGCCTCTCTCTCCTCCAACAAACAACCAAACAATCGAGAAGATACAAACGAGGATGACAATTTATCAACCTCGGGATCTAGTAATAGTTCCAATCAGTCATCACCAGCAACAAATAATCATCATCATACAACACAGGCAACTTCTACAGCAAATATTCGAGCCGTGCAGGATGATCAGAGTGTAGGTTCTCCTCCTGTTTCGCCAAGATCACCAAATGGTGCCTCTTCAATGAGGATTCGAATGCCACCTCCAAATTCACCAGGAAGTGAGCAGAATAGAAAGAGTTTCAGATTGGCCAAGTCTCCTCTTTCGGCTAGAAGTAATAGATCGAATGGTTCTGGAAATGGTTCGAATAGTGGTGTTTATGATACAACACCACACGAATTGAAACCTAGTAACTCTGCAAATATTAAAAAGAGAAATTTGTCAAGAATTGGAAAGAAGGATTCTCCCAGTTTGGTGACTATTCCATCATCTTCCTTGTGGATTAATAGTGCCAAGAATGCGAATAATAGAATGTCAGTTTCGTATAATAATGATCAAATAGTTGATATGGATGAATATAATTTGACTTCATCGGCTCTCTCGGTAAAATTCTCATTCGAAATGTTAAGAAATAGGAATGCCTTATTGCAGGGAGGAATGGGTAGATACTTTTCTATGCAAGTTTCCAAGACTGGTTCATCAAAGAAGGAAACTGAAAAGATTCCACTCTCTGTTGGTTGTTTCGTCTTGAATTCTGAAGGAAAACTTGTTGATATCATTACGGTGGAGCAAGCAAAGAGTTTACTTTGTGTTGAAAATATTCTAAACCTTAAAGGAATGGAAAATGTTGAGGAATTGGATCAAGCAGTTGTAAATAATGTGGAAGAAAGTGGTGGTCGTAAATCAAAGAAATCTGCAAAAGCAAACTCTGCACTTACAACCACTCAAACACCACTTGTTGCATTGGAATGTCAATTGAATGATTTGCTATCTGATTCCTCCCAAAGAAAGTATTTAGGAATGAGATCACTCAATAACAGTACATCAGCTAACTCAACAACAACTTCTTCATCAGGAAAGACCACTATTGGAGGTTTTGTATTGAGAACAAACAGAAAATCCAATGCTGATGAGGAGGAAAACAAACAACCAGAAAAGAAACATCAAAAACTATCAAATATTGTAGATGAGATGCATACAAGAAATGTGAAGGATGACATGGCCTATGAAAAATTGAAACAATCATTCAATATCCAAGTCAGAGATTGGAAAACCAATGATGAAACAAATTATCAATCTAGTGGAATTTTCCAAAATCTTACCCATGGCTATGCAGCAGATTTCAATAATTTATTGAATAGCTTTACAATGTCAACAACGAAAGTTCAAAAGCAATCTGATGATGAAGAGGAAAAGGTTGTACAGAAGGAAGATTTCAAATTTTGTAAAAAAACCATCGATAAGGTCATGTTAACAAAATATGATGTTGCTAAATCAAAGCGAATCAGTAACTATCTTAGTGATAACCCATTTGGCGAATATACCAAACTGATATTCTTCTTAGAAGGTGACCTGAACTGTTTGGAAGGTGATATTCAAGTCTCCTTTGAGAATGATATGGTATTTACCAAGTCTGAAATTCATGAAGAGAATGCCTATCGTGTTTCAGCCTCCAAGTTCATTCATAACTTGAATATTGAAGTGAATCAACCCTCTCTAATGAATAAGAGCAATACCATTACAACATTATTCAGTTTATCCTATGACAGACTCAAAAAAGAGTACAAGGTTGATTTAGCAGATCCTCTCAGCTCTATCAATAATTCTTCCCTATCTTGTCAGCCATTCCCTCTACCAAATGATAGTTGTCTTTTCCATTTACCTAAAGTTTTGGAGCCAATTAGAGAGAATCATAACATTGTACTTGAAACTAGAGATGTGAAAAGTAATTCTCCTCCAAAGGCAGCAGGTTCAAACAACTCCATATTTGTGGACAGTGAAAAATTGAGGTTGAGAATAACAGAGGAGAATAGAGCTATTGGAATAAGACCAATTAGAACTAATCATTTCTGTGTCTTGATGGATTCTGTTGGAGGAGTTGTTGATGTTGTGAGTCACGATAAGAGATTTAGTAACCATACTGTTTCTGGAGAGCCAACAATTTCCAGTCACATGGCTGTTGGTGTTGTAGGAAACAATAATTCATTCGAATCATCGTTCGATTACTTTGACCTCAAACTGGAAAACTTGAAACATATTCATGAAATTTATTTCGTATCAATGATCGGAGATGGATATGAACATTCAGAATTACCTCGAATGGGCCTTACCAACACTGCTTCGAATAACATTTCAAGCTATCTCTTTTTTGATTCTTCGTTTGGATTGAGTTATATTGACAAGTCAAACAATGAAGTTAACATTAGAAACTTCCCAACGCCTCCTCATCCAAGTAATTGCATCATCTGGGGGAAGGTTTCACACGCCACTGGCCAATCCTTTGTGATGAAATTCCTTGGTGAGCACATGTCAGTTGAGAAGAAACCAAAACAAACTTGCTTTTCAACAATTGTGAGACACATAAGACACTACCATTTCAATAAGGGAGCTGATTCCCTTTGTAGATCTGCTGTAGTTCAGGAAGGACAAGAGATTACAACTTATGATTTTCCTGTCAAGTTTTCAAATTCTCACCCAATCATGTTACAATTTCAAGGAGCTAGTCATCCTCATCTTTGTAAACCTTCAGACTTGCTTGTTAAACTCACTGTATTCACATTTGATAAGGAAGCCTATTTCTTGAAGAAACAACATGTGGAATTGAGAAGAGAAGGCCCAATTTTGGATGGCGTAATCGATCCAATGGCAATCATTCCTCGATTGGTGGAAAAGGCAGGAATTGTCTTTTGTATTGTTTCCTACCGAGAACATGCGGTTAGGGAGGATAACAGAACTGTCACGTTTGAGGATGAAGATGATTTACCAAGAAACTCTGTTGCCGAAAAGGAAGAGGATGAAACTATTCGAAACATTTTTGTTATCGATCCAGTTACAAGAAAACCATTATTCTCTCTTCCTTTATGTGATATCTTCAAGATTTCAAATCATGAAAACAATGGCCCAAAGGAGGTGGCTGACTTTGAGGGATACAAACACCTGTTGGCTTTCAAAATGGAAAGAAAGCAAAAGGAAGAGTGGTCACTTTCCTACGTTGGTGAATGGATGCCAATAGATGTAGACCATTCCTCCGTTACTAAAAGAGATGATTCATGGGTTTATTACTTGTCAGATCTCTTCCTAATGGGAGATTCCAAGTATAAAAGAGTGACCAATGAAAGATTGTCTCATGCTCCCATTCCTTCTCCTTCACAATATATTTGCTTTGGTGTAAGATTGGAAGATACAACCAAAAAGGTTCCATTTAGAAGTGATTTGAGTCCTCTCACAGCTGGAACAACTAAAAAAGCCCAGAAAACAAAAAACCTTATCGATCATACCATTGTAAGAATGAAGGCAATTTGTTATAATTGGAAGGGAGATGTTACCAAGGTACTGAGCTCCTCAAATTCAATGCCAAAATCTGGCAGTGTGGAAAAGTACCTTGCTGATGACAGTACAAAGTTTGCTGCTCTCATTGATAGAGCCTTGCCAACTGCCACATCAGTACAATGGCCAATGCAAGGAGAATATGATGAGACTCAATGCTACATGATGCTCGACTCTGTTGATGATAGCAAGGTTCAAGCATTGAGCCCATCTATGGTTCGTCTGTCATTCAGAAGAAACAAGGATTTCATGTTACCTGAGCCAATTCCAGTTTATCACTTTTCCATTCTATTGAAGATTTATATTGTGATTAACTCGAAGGAAATTCCACCTGAAGATGTAATTGAATTATTGTCTCAGCTTAATGCTGTCATCAAGGTTTACAACATGGAAACTAAGAGTGAGGCATTTAGATTTACAATTCCTGCTTCTCAAATTCCTTACAAGGCAGGTGAAAATCAATCCAAGATTAATTCTCACTTGTTCCTCTGTAGTATCAGGTCCATCTTCTCCAATGATAACTCTAGCAAGGTTTGGCATATTAATCCAATACTGCAACGAAAGCAAATGGGTGGCGAATTGACTAAATTCTTAGCACCAATTCCAAAGATACTCAAAGTTCAAATTGTGGAAGCAAGGAATTTACCTGTCATGGATGCCATTTCTGGACTTTGTGATGGTTTTGTAAAGGTTTACAATATTGAAAATGAGAAGGGATTAACTTCCAAAAAGAAGAAGAAAACCTACAAGACCAAAACTATCAAGAAGAATTTGAATCCTCGTTGGAATAATGAAACGTTTACATTGTAAGTTATCAATTTGAATCTATTGGAAATTAATTCACTTCTTCTAGAAATGTTTCTGAAATTATTCAAAGGCATGGATTATTATTCTCTGTCAGTGATAGAGACATGTTGACAACTGAGGTTATTGGATTTATTTTCATTCCCTTCTCTGAAATTGAAAATGGAACTAAATATTACAAGATCAAGAAGGAAATCATTCCTTCACCAGAATCTCTCCATCAAGAAGATGAATATTTAGGAGATGTCAAGATTAAATTTGAATTGTTAGGAGCCAAATCAGATCAACCTCTTCAATTCTTGAAATCCAAACTCTTGAAAATTAAATAATAAAATTATAAGAATGATGGTTCATTATTTACAATATTACACACTGAGTGAATATTCCCTGACTTTCCTCTATTGATCTTGTACCTGTTATTGAAGATAACAAGAAGGCATGAGTAAATCCTGGCAGATATCCCAATAATGTTAATAAAACATTGAGTAGAGTGACTTTCCACATTGGTTTGTTATTCTTCCGATCAAATATTTGTCTACTTGCAGCATCCATTTCAAAGTGATACATGAACAACAAGCCGAGAGGAGGACAGAGAATGACAAGGATCAATCGAATAACTGCTATTGCACTCATTTTTTGTTATTGTTCTTTTCTACATGACCATCATAGTAAGAACAATCAAGTTTAAAGTTATTTGTTGTTCCTCAGATCAGTTTGAAAGGTCCGTTGATGTGGTTTTTGCTCTGGAGCAAAAATACCACCCAGCAAATAGATTTCAAGAATTTGGCCAGTCTTCATCACCATAGTTTGAAATTAGTGCTGTTTGAGGGAGTTTTTCAATCCTTGCATGTCTAATTGTTGAAAATGTTGTTGGCTGATGAACAGGAGAAATAAATCCTTCAACAACAACAACATGATATCCCTCTTCATTATGTAAATAATCTTGTTGGTTGTTTAAAACATTCAGAGATTTGCAAATTGGTAATCGGATTAAAACTTCCACAAAGGAATAAAGCAGGAGGCCTTCCAAATCATCATAATTATTATTATTAATTAATTATTAATTATTGATGAGCAATAACAGCTTATGTTGAAGTTTTATACCAATACGCCACAATCATCACCCTTCCCTATATTCACCACCATTATTGTTGATAGAAGAAGAAATACCAAGCACAAGCTCAAGTTTTCATGTGATGATGAAATTGCGATTTTTTAGAAAATTGAAAAAAAAACTTTTTCACGTGAGCTTGATTAATTTGTTGTTCAACAATTTCTTGATTCAATTCTATACTGTAATGATTCTCTTCTTTCAAAAGATTAATTGCATTTTGTTTCTGTAAGTGAAAAATTGTACTTTTAAAATTTACAAATGTTGTAAACCTCAATGTTCGAATAACATAATCAATTACTTTGAATACTATATGACCTTCTAAATTCACACGATTATAACTATCTCTCAACATGCTTTTTCTGCAGCAAATTCAACCTGTCAATCGACTTTACGTAAAAAATCATTAAAAAAAAATGTCAATTTCCAAGGTCATTCTTCTCGCAATCGTTGCCGCATTGTTGGTTACTTTTGCTGTTGCTAGTGCTATCCCATCTGATGCCGTTATCGAATCCATCTTGGGTACTTTCGAAAAGGAATACGAAATGTCAGATGCCATTTCAACTGCTTCACCAGCTGCTGTCAATGCTGCCAGATTTGCTCAACAACAAGTTGGTAAATGTTACTCTCAACAAAATAGACTTGGTAATCCATGTTTTGATTGTTCCGGTTTAGGTTTGTTTTTTTTTACACTTTCCATATTTAGAAAATTAACAAATTTTCGTATTTTTGGAAATGGAAATTATATGAATTATTGATCAATAATTCATGAATATCGTGCATCAATTCTCCATTTTATTATTTATTATTGGATAAATAGTTTACACTGCTTACAAATCTCAAGGAAAGACAGTTCCAACTTCTACTGGAGTTTATCCAAATGGAAATATCTATGAAGTTACTGGACAACCAATGGAAGTTGGTGATATCTTGTTCAGACCAGGTGTAAGTTGAATTGAATTTTCACAAAAAAATTAATTTCTTTCGAATAATGTTTCGAATATTTTAGCATGTTGGTATCTATGTTGGTGGAAATCAAGTTGTTTCTGCTGAAAATTCTAGAACTGGAGTTCGTCAAAGAGATATGGGTTATTACTCTGCTTATTTGAAGTTCACTAAGGTTTACAGAGTTAGATAAATAGTTTCGAATAACGCAATTAATTTTATTGTAAAGTTTGAATAAAGAATTTATCTTTACAAATAGGTCAATTTCTTTCCATTACAAGAAAGTTTTTACTTTCCAATAATCTTATTCGAATCCATCTTTTTGTATTCGAAGATGTAAGATCATCATTTCACAAAGAATCTCTCATCAATTTTCATGGCTTTTAAAGTAGTCTTCAATTTACAATTTTGTATTTTTTAATTTTTCTTAGATTTTGGTAAATTTTTTCATCTGGAAATGGATTTATTTCTTCCACAGATTTGTTGTGTGTTTTCAGATTGATTCTTGGTGACTTGGGATTTTGAATAAACACACACAGAAAAAATGGACAAGCAACAAACTAAACACAGTGAGCTTTCGAATAAAGTCAATAGAAACGAAAGTAAAATGGTGGGTGACCACAACTATAATTTTGATCGAGTTGTGTACACACCAAACAAATCAATGTTCAGCGTCATTAAAAAGAAGAAAGTTTCAATACAGAGCTATGAATCTGTTCTATTCTTTACGAAAGAAAATTCACAACCTTCAACTTCTATTCGAAAGGTCACCAAAAAGAATCACACACCAATTACCCAACAATACACTGTCATGAATACATCACAAAAGATCACTCATTCACAACAATCTTTAAATATCCTAAACGAAACTAAACCCTTTAGAATAATGCTCCCGTCCATCAAGGAGTTGTTTTCCGCCAATCAAACAAGTATCTTTCCAATAGATCACAACTTACTCCATCCAACTTCCAATAATCTTTCCATTTAATCTTCCATTTTCCAATAACATTGAAATAAAGAGTTTCATTACAATAAACTCCGCAGGAACATTTTAAAAAAAATGTCAACACAATGTTTACGGCAGAATCGATTCTCACTATGCCGAATGTTTTTATTCATCAGCCTTCTGATGATTTTCTCTCACTTTTCGACGTGTAATTTGAACGAAACTATCCGATTCTTAAAATCACAAGTTAAATATCAAGCAGAATCAATTATTGGAAAATTAGATTACCCATCAAAATTAGAAACAAAAACCTTTTCACTTGTTGGGTTAGCTCCTTCCGTTCAATATGAAAATACGTTTTATTATGTCGTGAATCAGGTTGTCATTGCTAAATTGGATTTTGTAACTGGACAACAGGAATTTATTACAGGAAGTGAATCTCCTGGTAGAGGTATTGAGGGAAATGGAGGACCAGTGAAAAATGCAACGTTTATATTTGTGAATCATTTGTATGTGGTTGCAGAAAAGGACGAAAGTAGTGGAAACTTGTATGATGTGATTTATTTGGTGGATTTGTTTTCTGTTAGGAGGATTCGAACCAAGACAGGAATTATTGACCATATTGCTGGAATTCTGGCAGGTAATTTGAATTTTGCGGCCCCAGATGTGATTCCAGCAAGTGAAATCAAATTCCTTTCATTGAGTGATATGGTTGTTTATCCGAAAGTGGTGAATTCTGTGGAAGAGGCGAATGTTATCGTTCTGGATTTGAATATTCTGAGAAAGATTCAAAATGGTACTGTTTATAGAATTTGTGGAGGTGCTGGAGTTTATCTAGATAGCGAATTTCCTGCAATTAGTTCAACATTATTGTCCCCTAACAGTATTTCACTAAATGACAAGAATGAGATTTACATTTCAGAAAGGGGATCCAATAGGTTCAGAAAGATTCTCCAGAATGGTAATATTACAACAATGTATGGGCATGAATTTCCACTTCTGCCAGTTTCAATGTCCACTTGTCCTTATGATGATGAATATGATTATAGTTGTCCCTCTTATTTATCAGCTTATACTATGAACGAATTGGATATGGTTTATTTCACTGATACTTCGAGCTTATTGAAAAGGTTGACCATCAATAATACAGATGGATCCGTAAAGCTGGAAATACTGGCAGGAAAAAGTGATTCCTCAGCAGAAGAATGCAAAGATGGAATAACTCAAGCATTTGATTGTCATTTTGTTTTTTCTTCTAATTTTATAATTTCTCCAGATGGAAAGTCTGTTTTAATGGTAGACTCGAAAAATATCAAAATTCTCAATTTGGAAACCAAGATGATTTCTCCAGTATTTTCAAATGGCGATCAAATACCGAGAGTGGATGGGATGAAAGGGATAAAGTTCCCATTGAGACAGCCAACTGGTCTTACTTTCGATTATCATTTAAATGAGAATACAAACAAATTGGAGAAGGTACTATTTATTAGTGAATCAAACTTTGGAGCAGTTAGATATTATGATTTGACAACTCGAACTGTTCGTACTCTTAATCCTGGATTTGTCAATTTGGAGTCTTCCACTTATATTGATTCTTCTTTAAACTATTCCCTGTCATCCAAACCAATGTCTCTTAGTGTTGGAGTGGTCAATGGTGACACAATTGAATATTACATTTTGAATGAACAAAGTGGAGTTTACAGTGATGCCATTATCAGAGTTTCCCAAAATATTTATTCAAAAGCAAGACAAATATCATTGGTGGTGGGAAATGCTTTGAGACCTAACAATACTGCAAGAATGCCCACTTATATGAATGCCTCCTCAGTCACCTACAATCAGCCAGAGGGAATTGTTGCCACAGATATGGGTATTTTCGTATCTGACACATACAATAACAATATCAAGCTCATTGATAATACTAATAATGTCAAGGTAATTGTTAAGAATGTGAAGAAACCAACTGGTCTTGCTTATTATGTGACGAGCACTGGAGCGAGATATTTAATATTTTCAGAAACTGGAAGACATGCCATCAAAAAAATCAATCTAGAAACCAATGTAATAACAATACTAGCTGGTATTCCAGATCAATTTGGATATAATGGAAATTCTAATGATGCAACACAATCTCTGTTGAATGAGGTAAGTTGAAATGAAACAATTTTTTCCAACCAATCAATTGATAATTAATTAGCCAAGAGGAATGACCATAGTTAACATTCCTGTAAAACAACAAGGTATACTCTTTGCTGACAGTTTAAATCACAGAATTAGATTTATCAAATTCAATGCCACTCTGAACGAATCTTCCATTTTCCCTATCCTTAGCATATCTGGAATGGGAGTTGCAAGCAGTGATAGTAGATACTATAATACACCTCATGATGTGCACGGATGTGATAAATGTTTTGCATTTTATGTAGCAGATACTTACAATAATCGAATTAAGAGATTGAGATTTACTAGTGATGGTGATGGACCAGTGATGTACTCAGTAACTGCAGGTGACTCACAACTCGGAGCTGGTTTCAGTGGTGACAATGGTGATCCATTAATGGCAAAATTCTTTCACCCATATTCTGTTGTTTCTACTGCTGATAGTTCATCCGAAAATCAGTATGCTAGTGCATTACCAAAACCAATCGCAATAGCTGACACTATCAATAGCAGAATAAGATGGGCAGATTCTAAAATAATCAAGACGATTATTGGTGGAGCCAATGATGTTCAAGAAACAGAACCATCACGAGGAAGATCTGCCAAATTGAAATATCCAAAGGCATTGGACTATAGAAATGGAGTAATTTATATTGCTGACACGTCGAATAACAAGATTAGAAAGTACTCAATTAAGGATGATTTACTAACAACCATTTCTGGAGGTTTTGGTGATAATATTCCAGCCAATCAATCATCTGCTATTCCTCTAAGCATGGTCAGAGCAAAAAGTGGAAACATTTACATAACAGATAATTTGAATAATATTATTAGAAAGATTGATGGAATGACTGGAGTTATTAGTACAATTGCAGGAACTGGAGATTATGGATTCCATGGAGAGAATGGTCCAGCTACAAGTGCTACTGTGGCATTTCCATCTGGAATTGCAGTTTCACCCCTAAATGAAGATATCTATTTCAGCGATACCAACAATCATAGAATTCGAAAGATTTCTTCCAAAGATGGAACAATTAGTACAGTTTGTGGAACTGGAAATATTGGATTTTCTGGAGATAATGGTCTTGCCATCAATGCAGATATCAATTCACCAACATGTATAATGTTACTTCCACCAACTTATGAAGAATTTGTTTTTTGTGATAAGAATAATGGAAGATTACGAAGAGTGTTTAATTTTAATGGCCAGAGATATATTTATTCAATGGCTGGTAACGGAACAGTTGATGTTGTCGATATTGTTGCCAGTTATCTTATTGAATCATCATTGACAGCAGTGGAAGTTCCTCTCTCAAAGCCAGAAGGCGTATCATTTGTGGATAATACTGGAAAGATATTCGTATCTGACTCGTTGAATAATGTAGTGAAACAACTAGTTCCATTCTGTGAAAATAATTATGTGCTTAATCCAGAGAAAACTAGATGCATTCCAAAATGTTTTGAGTGGACCAGTTTGGATTCCAAAGTATGTAGCGGAAATGGAATATGTTTAGATAGTGATACCTGTTCTTGCCCCCCTCAATATAGTGGAAATCAATGTCAGTATCCAGTTTGTTTTGGCATTTCAAGTTCTAGTTCGGCTGTATGCTCCAATTCTAGTGGAACATGTCTTAAACCAGATACTTGCTCCTGCTCCTATGGATATATTGGAACAGATTGCAGAATGGTCACCTGCTTTGGAAAATCAGGAGCTGATGCATGCAATGGAAATTTGTGTGTTGCTCCAGATATTTGTCAATGCAGTAATAGCTTTGGAAAGGAATGTGAACATAACAGTGTTTTGATTGGAACCATTGTTGGATTTAGTATATTTGTTTTATTGTTACTTTGTTTCTCCATGTTAACAATGGTAATCTTCTTTTCCAAGTATAGAAAGCAAAAGAAAATTATTGAAATGGATCAAATGTTGGACGAAAGATTACTATCTCAAACTGAAGTTGGAGAAACCTTTGAATTTATGGACATTAACAACTCTGACAATTCTTCATTCATTATTCCAATTGAACAATTAAACATGGACAAACCAATCAAGAGATTGGGTTCAGGAGGAATTGGTTCTGTATTCCAAACTCGTTGGAAGAATAACATTATTGCTGTCAAGGTATTTGACATGAACAACATGAATATTTCTGAAAAGGATTTCCTCATGGAGGCTATCATTCTCTCGAAATTAAGACATCCGAACATTATCACATTTTACGGAATTTCTTCGAGTCCTACAAAGAGATTCATTGCTATGGAGTGTTTGGAGAAGAGTTTGGATAATTTAGTAACAGAAATGCAAAATCAATCAGTTCAGTATTCTCTCACTCAAAAATTGGAAATTTTGACAAATGTTGCTAATGGAATTCTCTATCTTCATACATTATCTCCAACAATTTTGCATAGAGATTTGAAACCTGCCAATATTTTGATTGACAGATTTGGAGTTTGTAAGCTTTGTGATTTTGGTCTCAGCAAGATGTTATCCAATTACAGAACTTCTGTCACAAGTCAAATAGGAACCTGTTACTATTTAAGTCCTGAAATGATTTCCAGTAATAGCGATATACTTGGTGAAGATGCCAGAGCAATCGACATTTACAGTTTCTCCATTATCATTTGGCAAGTACTATTCGAATGTACCGATCCATACATGAGTAGAAACTCACGAGTTTTACAAAAATTAAGATTAGAAGAACCAAGCAATGTTGAATCTTCCTATCAACTTCACAAGGGAATTTGTGAAAATAATTTGAGACCAATTATTCCATTCACAGATTTGGAGGAATGCAAAGAATGGTGTAAGGAATTCGATTCTCCAGATGAGTACGAAAGAATTTTCGATTTGACTGAATTAATTAGACAAAGTTGGTCTCCCGTTCCTTCTACACGTCCTAATATTCAAGAAATTGTTGATCGTTTAGAGAAAATTTACAATGCCTAATTTAGTTATTTAATAAAAATAAAAAAATAAAAAAATAAAATAAAATATTTAAAAAATTTATTTATCTTCTTCTACAGATTGATCAACAGAAGTTGTTGTGGTAGCAGAAGGTGAAACACAATCAGCAAGAGCAATGTCAACCACTGGTGATTTTGGTGAATTTGGAATTTGTGAAAGACCTTTTGATCGTTTCGAATTATTTGTTGATCTTTCAGATTTCATTTCACTTGTAGTATTTCCTATCACTTTCCCATCCTTCTTATTATTCATCATGTTATACGAAACTAGTGGATTGTAAACTAATAGTACAAATATGGAAAAGAGTAAAATTCCCAAAGCTTGCAAACTATAATCAATTACATGCAACACTGGATTGAAACTCGTAGTAATAATCGCAACAATCGAAGCTAGTAATTGAAAATAGGCACTAATCAACATGCCAACAATCAATGCTCCAATTTTGACTTCTGGTCTTTGAAGGAAATTTGAGCTAGCTTGTGAAATTCCAAGAGAATTCTTTCGTACAAAGAGAATTAGACGAACTCCTACAAAAACAAACATGATAGATTCAATCGTGATTGTAACTGCAAAGATTACAAAGATAACGATGAGAATTGCAATGACATTGGCTTTGAAATTTGTGGCAACTTTTGAGGCGAGGACAACTCCAACGTGGACAAAGGCAAGTAGGAAGATTAGGACAGCGAATAGGGTAGATATGATGTTGAAGAAGTATTTGATGAATTTGTGGGCCTTTTGGGTCATGGCGTTAACAACACGAGCTGTGTCCAAACTATTTCCAAAATTAAATATTCGAATCAATGAAGAAAATACTTACAAGATATTCAAAATGAAACAAATAATGACTATAATTACAGCTCCCTGCAAATATACAGCAACACTCTCTATGGCAGAGAATACATAGAGTGGAATTAGTAATTGATTGAAATTTTCAATCTTGGTATAGTCTGAATAAGTCAAGTTTATCCAGAGGGCTCTCCCATTATAGGCAAGTCGAAAAATCAATGCAAGAGTTTGTTGACCTATGCACCAAAACACCAAGAAGAAGACTAGAATTTGGTTTCTCTTCATTTCCTTCCTGTATCGAATAAGAATACCACTCATGATGGCAACAACAATGGCATAGCATGAGATGAAAACACATGATACAACAATCGAACCAACGTTTTGGGAATATTGAGGAAAGGTGCTGGCAAGAGATTCGTGTGTTGTGTTTGTTATTGTTGAGTTGCTTGCTAACGTTTCGAATAGATTCAAAACACCATTCGAAACAAGTTCGGCAGACATGTTAGCAGAGGTTCTTTGTTTTTAATTTTTTGTGTTGTGAAAATGTAACAAGTGATGTTCAATACCCAACAACATCATTAGTTTCGTACAAACTACAAAGCCAACTTTAGCAAAAAAGGAAAGTTACGGTAAATTTACAACTTTGTCGAAATACAATCATAAACAGGCACAACCCAAATTATTAGACTCTTACTATAAAAGTATACTGGCATTTCCCCTTCGCACTTTTCAAAACTTATTCGAAACTTGTTTACCTGATGTTGAACCTTAGATACAAGAAAATAAGAGGATATTCATGCTCTAATGTATTGAGGGGTTTGAAAATAGCGTTGTCGAAACTATTAGGTTTTCGATGTTAACCGAGGGAAAGATTTCGAATAAAAATATCCAACGCTATCAAGTAACAGCAATATCTGTTGGGCAAAATCCCTACACGATGAAAGCTTTCTGATAATAAGCAAGTACAAGAGAAATCATTAGAATTTTGCTATATTTTCCATTTCATTTTCTATTATTCGAAACATTTCCATTTCTGAAACCACCAATGCATCCATAACAATATCATTTGGCAAGTCTTCAAACTTTGTTTTTGGAAATGTTACATATGGTCAAAAGAATCCAATCTTAAATATTTCATTTTGTCACTTATCCTAATCTTCTTTCAAAAACTAAAATCATTTTTACAAACCCATGTTGTATAACATTTTCTACACATTCATTTATTCTCTCAATAAAGCTGAAATTTTGAATCCTTAATTTTCTCCTCGAAATAATATCAACACAACAGTATTACGCTGTACATCTCCAGAGTTCCAACTTCCTTTGTTCTTAGTAAAACAAATACCAAATTTAATATTAAGCGCGCCAAGTAACATCAACAACAATTCATTGCTGAGATATTTACTGAGTTCTCATTTCACTTGCTGAGCAGCAATTTAAGGCAGTATTTTGTTAAGGAGATGAAAAAAACAAAAAAAACAATTGCCGCCAATCTGCAACAACTAACGAGCAGGAAATTAACGTGAAAAATTGTATAATATTTGAAAAATGACTTTTATTGAATCAACGGAAGGAGAATTGGAAGTTTGTCAACCAGAACAAGTCAATTGTCAACATTTTAATGAAGAAAATTGTCATGATTTTGATAATGTTGTCATCCAAAAGAAGGTTTGGGTTAAGAAACAACCCTATTTGAAGAGAAAGTCAATTCGTGTTGATTTGGCATTGAAAGCTTCCGAAAAGAAAAGAGAAAAAAAGATTTTCAAGAATGAAATTAATGAAAATGTTGAAAAAGTTCCTCAAATTCAAGAACCAACAGTTACAAAATGTGAAAGCTCTGAAATGAAGCAAATGGAGTTTATTCAAGCTTTATTAAGGGAGAAGAAACAATTAGAAAGTGAACTAATGATGATGAAAGGAAGAGTTGCTCAATTGGAAGAAATGTACTATGAATCAAGAAACTTTTACAAGGAGCAATTGAAGAAGGCCTATTCTAAAGGAGAAGAACAAGTAACCTGCAAGAAATCTCACTCAACTGAGTGCATTCCAAAGAAAATCTTCCTAAAGAAGAGTGTAAACAAGAAGAAAACTGCCGATTGTTTGGAAGAATGTCCAAAATGCCACAAACACTTTAAAAACAAGTATATGAAATATCATGATAGAGTTTGTGGAAACATCAAGTTAAAGTACATTCTTTCCGAGAGAGATTTACTTCAATTGGAAACTGCCAAGCTCAATATGCAATCAGAGAATCTCAAATACGAATTTGATTGGAGAAAGAGAAGAGTTGAGTTTAAGAAACAGGTTGAACAAGCTAAATTGAGAAAGAACTTTATGATTCTTTATAAGAGAAAGTAAAATAATGCAATGAAATTCTTTCGTCTATAAAATTGGAATGGGAATTTATAAAACTAATCTAAATAATTAACAGGAGAATCAGTCGAAACTGATGCGAATAGACCTGTCTTTTCCTTCAATCTTATTTCATCCTCAATGGCCTTATGATATTGATCATAGACAAGTCTGTGAATACTTGCCAAAATGTGAAGATAATTTTCTCTTCCCAAATCCTTAATCATAGTTGGAAGATTCTTCTTTAAATTCTTAACATGATTAGGATCTCCAATAATCTTTGATAAAACTTGTGAAAATGATTCCATAAACTTGTCAAACGAATCTTTTTGTGGTAAGCTCTTAAAAAGTGAAACTTTCCACTTGATTTGAGAACCCAAATGATGGAAAGCCAACAAGAGAGCTTCACAAATGGCAATCTTTTCAGGATTCTTCTCATAATTGGAGGTTTGCTTTTCAAACTCTTGTAAAATATAATTCAAATTCTCTTCCAATTTGCTATTCAAAATAATGGAATGATAAATCTTACAATACAAGGCACAGGCAATCAATTCGTAATATCCTTGTTCAGTAGATTTGTACTCATTGTAAAATCTTGTTGTCTTGAGCCATTCTGTTGGATTTCTCAAAATGTACAACAATTTTGGAAGTGGAAGAGCCAACAAGATTGACATGGTCATTTGACCTACACCGGAGAGTGTGGACAGAGTGGCTGATCTTTGTTGTGAGAGGAAGTTTGCAGAGTTGGAATTGATGGCATAACAATTGGCATTGGCCAACAAACCAAATTCCAAATAATAAGCTTCTCCTAAAAGCGTTTTGAATGAACCAATTTTCTTTGGATTGAAAACAGTTCTGCCAAGTACTAAATTCTGAGCTGGTTTGGTAACTGCAACCTTCTTAATGTATTCATTGGATTTTTGAGTTAAATGATCACGAACTGGCTTTGAAATGACATAGCTGTCAGAGATGGAATCGTCTGGAATTTTGACTTCTGTTGAAGCAGTTCTCAAATGGGCAATAAATTGTTGATTGGTTACATTACCAACTAGAATTATTCCACCTTCTAATAATTTGTTTTCTGGATTTGGCTTTACAATATTGACAATATCATGGGAGAACATGAGTTGATATTCCATATCATTTGCCATTGGATAAACAATTACCTTTCCTTGATTATCATTGGTCCAAGTAATTGGATGTCTGGTTCTTCCATCATTATTGAAGAAACTCAATCCTTGATTAATTTGAATATCCCAGAAATTAACTCTCAATGCTAATCCATCAAATATTCTCATATAATTCATAAATTCCACATTATTAATATGAGAATTAGTAAAGAAAATGACATCGTATGTATTTTCTCCTTGAGGTGAAGGCATATAGGAAGGAGCCATTCTCACATCCATCAGATGCTTTTCAATTTGTTCTCCCTTATAAATAAGAGAAATGGAATAGTACAAGGTGTCGAAATAATTAACTCTATCAGTGAATGCAAACTCAATATTATGTTCCAAACATGAAAGAGCCATTAAATTTGGAATTTCAATATAGAGACTGGTTGGTTCAACCATTGTTGCATTAGGAATCAACTCTGGGAAAACAACCATTCTTGGATCAAAATCAATTTTCAATCCAACTTGACAAACCATCGATTGACTCATAGATCCATAAGGTAATGTTGCCAAATTCTTCACACCAACCTTCATTATTCCTCTTTGAAGTTTATCCATTGCCTTTGTACAGTTGGCATATTCAATTGCCAATGGAAGTCTTGCTGTGAAATTCTTCTCACATCCCTTAGCATGTTTCTTATCATAATATTTAGTTGGAGTATTCAATCTGACATTGGCAGCAAAAGATCCAAAATTTCTTGGTTCCTTATTCATTCTTTCTTCAACTCGGACAAGAAATTCCTGATCAGTGATAGTAATTACTTGACCTGGCACGATTGGTTGTGGAAGAATGAATTTTGGAATATTACAAACAGTAAATCCATCACCAGTCAATGAAACCTCAGCACCTGCAGGAGCAGTCAATCCACCTTCATTCTTAATTACAAAATTTGTAATCTTGGCTTGTTCTCCTGGTTCCAAAATTCCATCATCAATTAATGGAACAAATGAAAAATCAATAACTTTGAGTTTGTACTTTTTAGCTGATTGTTCAATGACCATTTTAGTGAATGGATCAAGAACTCTGTACATGACAGCTCCACAAACTCCATCAGTTCCTTGTTGTCCTGATTGTCCTGATTGACCATTAGTTCCAGATTTTCCTTGTTTTCCTCTGTAACCTTTTGATCCATCTGGTCCATGATGAAATCTCTTAATTTCTGTGTGAACTCTATTATCTGGAAGAGTTCTAGTAATGGTGATTGGATCACCTGGATCACCTCCCTTTCCAGCATGTCCACCCTCTCCAGGACTTTTAAACAGGTTGCAATTTCAACATATTCGAAAGTTCACTTACCTTCCACCACTGCCACCAATTCCTCCATTTCCACCTCTACCACCAGATCCTCCTCTTCCTGAAATACTCGTTCCTTCAATATAATTCAATAAATATGGATTGGTGGTGTCAATATAGACTGATCCTCCATTTCCACCATTTCCTCCTCTATTCGAAAGGTTATTTGAATATGAAATTTCCTTTTTTCAACTTACCTGCCACCATTTCCTCCACTTGTTTGTGTAAAAATTGTTTACAAAATTAAGGAACAACTTACTTTCCTCCATGGCCACCACTAATTAGTTTCGAATAAAGTTTAAAAAAGACTTTCTTACTTACTCTCCACCACTTGAAAAGTGAATTTTAATGAAATTTTGAAAAACTTACTCTCCACCACTGAATTGATTCGTATAATTGCAAAATGTAAAACTTACTTGCCACCATTTCCACCTCTACATTTCGAATATTAATATTAGAATCTAATGTTAAGAATAATTGCTTACCTTTCTCCATTTTGACCTGGTGCACCTCTTTTACCTTGTGAACCAGCACCTCCTATTCCACCTCTTTTTCAAATGTTCATTTCGAATAGAAATTAAAGTAAAACTTACTGACCACCAGCTCCACCACTATTCGAAATTAGAATACAGAACTATAGGAATTCTTCTACTTACTCGCCTCCCTTTCCACCACTATTTTTTTTGTAAATTAATAACATTATTCACAAAACCAAACTTACTTTCCACCATTTCCACCACTTTCGAATATTAATTTCAATACATGTGCATTTAAAGCTAAACTTACTTTCCTCCCTCTGATACACAAACCATCTCACAAACACCTCCTCCATAACTAAAGTCACCACTCACAACAACAGTTGACATGACATCACCTTCCAATAGAATGTGAATATCTTTGCCGTGTTTTGCATCTTCACCATTCTCACCATGCCAAGCATTGGTTGCGTTAAATCCATTGCCTCCTCTTTTTGAAGATATTTTAGTTAAATATTAGTTTAATTTACCTTTCTCCGTGATAGCCATTCCCTCCATGACCATATCCGTGAGCACCGTGTCTTCCAGTCTATGCACATCAATAATGTATGATGAATATCTTTAGTTTTAACTTACATGACCATTTTCACCTCTTTGACCACTATTCGAAACATCAATAATTATTATTCTAAACACACCAAAACACTTACAGTTGGCCATCCCTTCCATTCTCCCTACTCTTTGCTCGCTTTACAAATTGTTGCATTTTTTTTCTCTTGTCTCATTCCCAATTAGGAAGAGGCACTCTATTTATTTCTCAGAATGTGTGAAACCTCGTAAAACTCAATGTTTCATTGAAAATTGATAAATCAAATATTCTTCTAAAATGCATGTTGTAATGGAAAGAAAGTGGAAAGTGATCAAGTTTACATGTAACAATTAAACACACAATCGAATAGATCAATCATTGGTATGATATTAGGTTTAGCTCTAGTAATAGTTGAACTCTAAGAAATTAAAGGGGTTCCCCAGGGAAAGAAACTACAATAAAATTATTTATCGATTTGGGGAATCGGATTAATATTCCACGATTTTACAATGTTAAATTCGTCTCTAATGATCAAAGTTTCCAAATTTGGAGCAATTAAATTGGCTTTGCATACATCGAAAGAAGTAGTTTCCAATTTTTTTAAATTTTCTAATTTAAGCATTGTGTGCATTGATCGAAAATCATAATAATCTATTTCTGCTTCCAATACTAATTCTTCCAAAATTGGTAAATCTAATTGAATGCATTTCGATGGAACTTTCAAAGTTAACTTTTTCAATTTTGGAAAATTTTCATAATTCATACAATAATCAATTTTCTCAAAATACATTTCCTGTTCAAACGTTGAAATAAATGTCAATTCTGTTAATTGACCAAATTGAATATTAATTGTAAATAAATCTTTCAACGAATCAATTGCAACTAAACTTTCCAAGCATTCGCATATCATTTGCAATTTTGGTGAACATTCCAACTGGACATGACAATCTTCAACTTTTAAATGTTTCAAATAAGGAAAATATTGAATAATACTTTCAAATTGTAATGGAACGACAACTTGACAACATTCCAATCTCGATATTTTACAATTTACATTAGTCAATGCATAAATTTCACAATTTTTCAAATATAATTCTTCAATTTTCGTCGATGCAAGTGCCACATTAACAATATAATCCATTGCATCTGGCATCCCAAATTGACATCCCAAATCAATCGTTGTGAAATATTGTAAAAAATCGAAACATGCTTCCCAATTAAATGGTAAATATTCCTTCACTGTATCATGATCATTGTATTCATCACAATTTTCATCACGATTTTTGGATAAATAATTGGAAAATGATAATTTTGTGGAAGGATGAAGACAAATTCTTCGGAATGATTTGCAAACTTGTCCTAAATTGATGATTTCTAATGTGGATGAGGATAGATATTCTAATATTTTACTAATGATCAAATCGTCGAATGGGTGCTCGTTGATTTCTTGCATTTTTTTGTAATTTCTTTTAAACATTTATTAAGATTTCTACAAATAATAAATTATTTTAAATACTAATTGGGTTTTATTACTCCTATAAGATGTCTCACAAAATTTTGCTTTACAAGTAAAGTGGAATTTGAGATAGATTTTAGCTTTGGTCCCGAGAAATCGAGATTTAATAAACTAAAGCACAAGTATTACTTTGAAGATACACATTTCAAAGGTCTGTCTCTTTAGTGCTAAAGATCTTTTCTCTTGTCCCTTCTTGTACAGACTTTTTGGAGAATCTAAAATTACAATGCAGTTTTCTAATAAATTTGACCTAGAAGTTGAAATTCAACCGTTATGGCCAATTGTTCCAGAGAACTCACTCATTCTATTTATAATTAAGAATGATGTGTACTCAGTTGTAGAGAAGTCTGCTAACTCTAGCTTACTGAGGTAAGTGAACAAATGTGCTTATTTGTTACTGCTTACAATAATATGTATAAAGGGTGGGAATTTAACTAATTCCGTTAAGGAATTGGTTAAATGGGTGGGCTGTTGGTTGGTTGGTAGGATTGTAGAGTTTGTTGATTTTGTTGTGATTGTTGTTGTTGAGACATTTTCTTTGGAGCTCTTGAGTGTTATTGAGTGTTGTCAACGTTCAATTTATACTAAATTGAATTGCTCCATCACAATATTTACAACATGTTCAACCAATAGAAATTAATCATTTAACCAATCAAATAATTCCCAAATCTCTTCTGTTCTATTTCCAATAGAACAATCTAAAGATTTCTACAAATAATAAATTATTTTAAATACTAATTGGGTTATTGTCCCGAGAATAAAGTATTTGAAGTACCTAAGGAAGGTAAGATTTCTTCTGATATGTATGTTAAGTAACAATCAGATCTCCATCGTCCAGCAACTTTTAGTTGAGAAGATGTGTAACCAGATTTTGCAAGATGTGTAGCACCTCTTTTTCTAAGTGAATGTCCAGAGACAATTGAAGTGTTGTTTGGATTATGTTGTGATACATATTTCACTATATTAGAAATATCTGCAGTTCTAAAGAATGTGTTGGATCTAGGGTTGCTAAATAATGGGCACTTAGGAGATTTAAATTGCTTACAGTGATCATAATAGGTTTGGAATATTTTGACAGGACATATTTCGGAATAGGAAGGTTCAATAGTAATTTTTTCACCTTTTCCTTGTTGATCTGTTTTTGTTTGTCCTAAAGTGAAAACTAAATGACCATCCTTATTGTAAGACACATCACCGAATGACAAATCCGCTAACTCTCCAGGTCTCATTAATGCACGAACACCAACAGCAATTACTGCAGCATAGAGTTTGAATGACCAAGGGTCAATGTTTGGTGGGTTTTCTAACCAATATTTTAGGTTAGCTAAATCAAATGGTTCTCTAATTAGTTTTTCTCTATCAAAGAGAGACCATATCTTTGTTGTAGATGATCTGATATCGGAAATTATTGAATTTTTCCAATCAACCACAATGCCCAAACATTTGGTTTCATGTTGAAGGGCGGCACATGCTTGTTTCACTGACCCACCTGAGCCTTTCAATAACATGTTTGTGAGATAAAGGGAAATGGAATTCAGATTCCAACATCTTTCAATGTTATACCAGAAACAAAAATCTTTAAATTTGTTAACGTGGTTTCTGTATGTTCTGATTGTCGAATCAGCTAACTTGTATTTGAGGATAACATCTCTTGCTTTGAATAATGTTAGTAGGTGGTTGCTTGAACCTTTAGTGCTACAAAGTTCCATTCTGAGTTTCTGGATAGTTCCATGTCTTGATTGAAGATCATGTCCTCTTTCGTTAAGAATAATGTTTCTTGTGTTATCTTCATTAGAACTGGCCACCAAACTGCGCTTTCCCATTTTGGAACGATTAGAAGAGCCTTTGCTTTGCTTTTTAGTAAGTGTGTTACTGTTGGGAGGATTAAGCCTAAGGGAGGAACCAAATAATTGTTCTCCTGTTCCCAATTGTTCAAAAAAGCATCCTGATAGAAGTTTCTTTGACCGAACCTTCTTACTTTGCAATTTGTTTGGCTTGCAAATTGGTCTATGCTGAAAGGACCAAATTTTTGCTGGAGTTGATTGAAAGTTGAATTGATTATTTCCCATTCTCCCAATCTTGAGAGCTTGTCTGCAAAGAAATTTTCTTTGGAAGGAAGGTACGTTACTTTTCTGATTAGCCAATTGTTGTTGATACATATTTTCCATATTCTTCTTGCTACTGTTGCTAAGTAATCTACTTTTCCTCCTCCATTCTTGAGGTAAGTCATGATTACTTGATTGTCTGTTCGTACGTGAAATTGTGTTCCTTTTGAAAAAGACTTGTTCTTTTGAATTGCCAATATCATTTGTTCGACTGCTAGTAATTCTTTTAAATTGATATGGTATTCTTGAATTTGATGGCTCCATCTGCCATGCATTATTAGGTTTTTGGATACTCCACCAAAACCTGTCGTCGATGAGTCCGTTGTTAGGATTTGTAATGTTGTTTCTAGTTCGAACGTTGTTCCTTTTGATTGTTTTAGGATTGCAGAGATTGTCTTTAAATCTTGAAAATCGCTTCGTAAGATATGCATTTCTCCTAACCATCCTTTCTTTGTTACCATATTTGAAATGTGATGTTGAGGTCGAATTAGAAAAGGTCTTAAGTTCTTGTCTATTGTACTTAGGAACATCAATTTCCCTATTATTGATTGGAACTTTCTGATCTTGATTCTTCGTTGACTTAAATGTTTCAATTCTAGTTTCTTGAGGATCTTTTGGGCTGTGTTGATTTTTTCTTTCTGAAGACAAAGTGTTCCTAGTTTTGTGTTGATTGTTGATCCTAAAAAATCTATTTCTTGAACAGGAGACAGTACTGACTTTTTCATCTGAATTACAAAGCCAAGACTTTCTAATAATTGTCTCGTTCTTTCTATGTTTTTCTGACATTCTTGAAAGGAATTTCCTATTATTAAAATATCGTCCAGATAGAAGAATATGACTATACTTTCTTTTCTTAATTGAGTGATTGCTGTTTTCATAATCTTGTGAAATGTTCTTGGTGCGATATTTAGCCCAAATGGAAGAGTTGTGTATTTGTACCTTTTGTTGTTGAATTGGAAGGCTAGAAGATGCTGTGAATTGCGTTCTATTTTTAGGTGATTGTAACCAGATTTCAGATCTATTTTTCCACACCATTGACCTCTTTTTAACAATTTCATTATTGTCTTCAACGTTTCTTGTTTGAAGTGAAGCGTTTCTATTCCAGAGTTTGCCCCTCTCATATCTAAAATTGGTCTGAATGGCTCTGTTGAATTTCGCTTTGGTATGAGGTAGATTGGGTGAATTAATACTTCTTCTTTGTTGGAAACTTCTATAATCATTTCTTGTTGTTTCAGTTGTTCTATGTGTTCTTGGAACCAAATTTTCTCTTTCTCTTTCGTTGGTTCTCTCTGTGGAAGTGGATGGATTAGTTGGGGGTTGTGGTTGATTGTTAGACCATTCTTTACCCAATCTAATATTGTTTTGTTGGAGGTTATCTTTTCCCACTCCTTTGAAAATTTGGATAACCTTCCCCCTATTATGGGGTCACTTGGAATTTGAGGTTCCATTTTTTCCTCCATTTTTGTTGGAGTTATTATAGTCATACCGTTTACCACCTCTTCTGTTTTGGTAATCATATTGTTTTTGGTTGTAACTACTACTGTCTCTTTTCCTTTTGTTATAGTCGTGTCTGTAATTATTATTTCTATTCTTTACCATTTGGAAAATGTTAGTTTCAGTTTCTTTCTTCTTTTCTTTTTTTTAATTCCTTCATAACCTCATTAGTGTAGGGATTAGCAGAAACTGACATCGTATTTTCGACATTTGCAATCTTATCTACAGAATTGGTGGATAATGCTACATCATAAATTGTCTTTCTAAAGGTAGCAACATTAATTAATAGGTTCATAATGTTAGACATTTCTTGGGCAGAACTAACTTTGAACATTCTTTCGCTCATTTTACCAACCATGAGTACAAAGTTATAATCATTTCTCAACTTCTCATTGGTCAACTCGTTGGATCTATTATTACCAAACAGAACTGAATGACCAGCAGTAATGGAATTGAGTTCCTGTTGTAATTCTTTACCCTTCTCTTTACTGATGACTGGTTTTTCAAATGAAGTCATTAGAACTAAATCTTGCAATGAACCAAACTTGATATTGTTATGCTTTGCTTTGTAAAACAATTCCATGAGTTGGTCTGTTAAATTATCAATTTCTTCTTTATCATTGAAGATAACATCTTCTTCATCCTCTTCATCTTGAGGAGGTTGGAGATTAGGTTGAAGATTTGGTTGGAGATTAGGTTGTTGAGTTGTTTGTGGGGTTGTTTGTTGAGTAGGTTGTTGATTTTGTTGTGGAATATTCATATCTCTAGTAGAGAAAGCATCAAAACTGTTGGTTGGTTGGTAGGATTGTAGAGTTTGTTGATTTTGTTGTGATTGTTGTTGTTGAGACATTTTCTTTGGAGCTCTTGAGTGTTATTGAGTGTTGTCAACGTTCAATTTATACTAAATTGAATTGCTCCATCACAATATTTACAACATGTTCAACCAATAGAAATTAATCATTTAACCAATCAAATAATTCCTTATTTTACAAATCTCTTCTGTTCTATTTCCAATAGAACAATCTAATTTACTGGCAATGAATAATTTCAACTGTTTTCATTGATGAATAACAATGAAATTTATATGGTTGTAAAATAAGTTAGAAAGGTTTCTAATAAACAAATTGTAGTTGAAATTGGAGGGTATTTTATTAGAAGATGTTAATATTCCATTTCCTTATAAGAAAGAAATAACGAGTTCTCTATCGAACTTCTAGCTCGTTCATTAATATCACATTTCCACATTGTAAACAAATGACACGAACGATTCGGCAAGTTTCGAAAAGCTATTTAACATCAGCTTTAAAGATCTCTAAATTTCCATTCAAAAAAAAAATGTTATCCAAATATTCATCAAGATTTCTCTTAATCTTTACAACAGTGTTCCTCTATCAAGTTGTCTTGGTTTTGGCTGTCACTTACAATGACCTTGTACCTAAAGCCACAGGTTACAAGATGGGCGCCAAAGTTTACAATAGAAATTTGAAAACTCCTGGAACCCCTGGTGTTTCAAATTGGCATGTTGCTCAATGGGAAAATGCTTACGAACTCAATGCTTTCAATAATCAATATTCTGTAGCTAATCCAAGCTCTCGTGTTGTTTTCACTCCAGGAAATGATACTATTGAGCTAGCCCTGAATGGTAATTTGTTAGGTTGTGGTGTGGAAGCCAATTTATTTGCTGAACCAACCACTTCCAATACGTATGATACTGCCCCTTTCGTTCCAGCAATTGAAGGTCCACTTGCCAATAATGGAAAGCAATTATTACATACCATAAATGTAAGACCCTATTACATTCAACAAGTTGCTTCTTCATGTATTACTCAAGCTACTTTCATTACCTCATTTGTGTTGAAGAATTATGATGCTCCAAGTTTGACACTTTTCTATCAACTCAATTTGCATTATGCCTCAGTTAGTCCATCACGTGTTCCAAATAAGAATTGGTTTTTCAATGGAGCTGCCACTAATACTACAAATACATGGGGTTATGATGATGTGATTGCTTCCTATGAATTGACCTATCCAACTGTGGGACAAACTCTTGTCTTTTCTAAGGATGTCAAGCCAAGACTTCGTCAAGTTGTTGCTGACACTGCAAATAATATTCCTGCTGCTTATAAGAATCCAGATAGGTGGTACATTCAATCTACTTATTATGGTCCACATGTTTGGGGAGGTCTTATTACAACTTACTTTGCAAGCAATTTCAGACTGGCTGAAATGTGGTAAATTACAATAATTCAA